CTAATAACAATAAAGACAAAATTAATTAATTTATATATATATAATTAAATATAGATGATGATGTATACCAATATGATTGAATTTTTAAATTATATATAAACATCTTTAGATGCATATATCATTAATTTTTATTAGTAATAGATGACATAAAAAATGTGGTACTCGAGCATCGAGATAAAATATAGGCTATGGCATCAAATCAAGAATAGTTTCAACTTCGGTTGAGGAATGTATGCGGAAACTAGTGAAAACCTGATAGACTTCGGAACAAATTCATCAACCGCGATTTTTTTTTTTTTCTTATATAAAAAGCATTCATTAATCGCGAAATTTCTTGTGGCTGAAGGAAGGCTAAAGCGAACTTGAAACATTTTTCCTGGAACATAACTACTGACTTTCCTTTAATTAAAATCATGAAATTTTCTTTTTTATTGGTTTTATGGGTAAAGAGAAAAACTTTTTAAGGTTTATGTGAAGTAACGTGAATTATGTTCGTTAATTATTGGCCCAAATTAACGCCAAGCCGGTGAAAGCTAATTATACAATGGCTCAAAGCATGTTCGTTAATGCCATGAAGGACCATATGGTATATTTAGTGATGGATACGACTGCCTTGAAAGTTGAAACTACTTCACGCCCTACCTTGTCCTATGTCTTGAAACTTGAAACTACCACTCCCTTACTTCATGTATTGAAAGTTGAAAGTTGAAAGGACTTCATTCCTTTACTTAATGTATTGAAAGTTGAAACGACTTCACTTCCTTACTTAAAAGGACTTGACACACAGTATGTCCATCGAAGAGAATGGCCTCATCTTTGCAGTCGCCTAAGCCTTCGTCTTTGCCTCCGGCGATGGAAGACGGAGAGTTTAAAAACTGGGTGGAGCTTCCGTCGGAATTGACTTCATCGATCCTGCACCGGCTCGGCGCGATTGAGATATTGGAAAACGCTCAGAAAGTGTGTACCTCGTGGCGTCGTGTCTGTGAAGACCCTTCCATGTGGCGGAAGATTGTGATGCATGATGATCTCTTTTACTTGAGAAGAACGGGGTACAACCTCGAGATTATGTGCCGTCATGCAGTTGATCGCAGCCAGGGAGGCTTGCTTGAGATCGAAATTTCGTACCTCGGTTCTGATTCTCTCCTCAGTTACATCGCCGATAGGTTTAGTCTCTCTCTCTCTCTCTCTCACACACACACAGAAAAGCTTGTGAAATTCGATTTCAGTGTTTATTGTTTTCTTGTTTTCTTGAAGATTTTGTCAACTAGAAGTAGTATTGGTTTATGATATATTCTCAATGTTTTGTCTACATTGTACAAATCTCAACGAACCTAAAATGTGATCCTGTTATTTTCTTATTCTTCTCTGTTGTAGTACATACACCATGATTCTAAGCTTCTCATGCTTTGGGGTGCTAGGAAAAGTTATCTTCTGTATATGTTTTGCAATTTATTGTTCATAATCGTTTAACTTGACGTTACTTTTTCAATTTTACACGCAACTATTTTGCAGTTCAAGTAATCTTCGAACCCTGAAACTTACAACGTCCTATCAAGTAAACGACGAAGGACTTATTGAAGCAATTTCAAAGCTTCCATTGCTTGAAGACCTCGAGGTTTCTTACTGCGCAGTGTCCGAAAAGTCTCTGAAAGTTGTAGGCAAGTCTTGTCCAAATCTGAAGACATTGAAACTGAACCGCAAGGCTTTCAGACCCCCTTTAGAGTGTGATGACGATGCGTTAGCAGTCGCTGCTACAATGCCCGGACTTCGTCACCTCCAGCTTTTCGGGAACAGATTATCAAACGCCGGCTTAAACGCCATTCTTGACAATTGTCCTAACTTGGAACACCTTGATTTACGCCAGTGTTTCTGCCTTAAACTTGTTGAGGATCTGGAGAAGCGCTGTCTCGAGAGGATCAAAGTTGTGAGACGACCTAATGCCTCGACTCATGATTATCCATTTGATGCAAGTGTTCTCGATGTGTGTTCATATATAGATGATGAAGGCCTTGGTTGGGCAGACGTTTATTCTCACGATGAAGTCTTTGATTATCATGACTACGACCCATATGACTAAGCACGCTAGTACGTAGTTTCAGTCGACCTGTGTGTCTTTTGCTATGGCAGTGCTTTTTTCTTTCTACAATATCTTTAAACTCCAAGAAACGTTCATTGATGTGTGGTTGTTGTTTCATATTTATTTGACTATTAAGTTTTTAGTTTATTCTGCAACATTTATGAAAGCAAGCCTTGTGCTATTCTGAAGTGAGAATCTTTCCAAAAAAATTGTTTTCGAATACAGGAAAAGAAACGGTTGAGATTGGCGTTTAGAAGATTGACGGTTGTGATATCATGTATGCTTGGTCGGCGCTTATCCTTGGCTCCGGAGAGTTGTCTCTGGTAATACTTATGGGCGTGGCTCGCAACTTGCGTCGGTGTCTTCGACACCACGAAGTTTATTGATATGTTTCTCCAATCTCCTTTCCCGTACTTGAGAAGCCTTAACAAGAACCATTTATAGTGAAAAGATGCAACTATTGATGAAGAAAAGACACAATCATAAATTTTGAAATGACATAACCTTTTAAAGTGTAAATGACATTTATTCGGATTGTTAACAAAAAATTAAATAACATAATATATATTAATAAACAAAACACACATAATATTTTTACAATAAGAATATCATTAGATTTTGGTTGAATAATTTTATTTTTCTGAGGACTTTTAAACACATTGTATCCAGATAATATGTTAGATAAATAAATAAGTTTATGACAAAAAAAAAATCACTATAGTAAGAAAGTAAAAGTTAGATCCGAATGATTTTTTGTGGTTTTGAACAATATAAATAGTTTTGAAAAGATACAGATTATAATTGATGAAAAAATGCAACCATTTATAGTGAAAAGATGCAACTATTTATGAAAAAAAGACACAACCATAAATTTTGAAATGACACAACTTTTTAAAGTGTAAATGGCATTTATTCGGATTGTTAACAAAAAATTAAATAACATAATATATATTAGTAAACAAAACACACATAATTTTTTTACAATAAGAATATCATTAGATTTTGGTTGAATAATTTTATTTTTCTGAGGACTTTTAAACACCTTGTATCCAGATAATATGTTAGATAAATAAATAAGTTTATGACAAAAAAAAATCACTATAGTAAAAAAGTAAAAGTTAGATCCGAATGATTTTTTTGTGGGTTTGAACAATATAAATAGTTTTGAAAAGATACAGATTATAATTGATGAAAAAATGCAACCATTTATAGTGAAAAGATGCAACTATTTATGAAGAAAAGACACAACCATAAATTTTGAAATGACACAACTTTTTAAAGTGTAAATGGCATTTATTCGGATTGTTAACAAAAAATTAAATAACATAATATATATTAGTAAACAAAACACACATAATTTTTTTACAATAAGAATATCATTAGATTTTGGTTGAATAATTTTATTTTTCTGTGGACTTTTAAACACCTTGTATCCAGATAATATGTTAGATAAATAAATAAGTTTATGACAAAAAAAATCACTATAGTAAGAAAGTAAAAGTTAGATCCGAATGATTTTTTTGTGGTTTTGAACAATATAAATAGTTTTGAAAAGATACAGATTATAATTGATGAAAAATGCAACCATTTATAGTGAAAAGATGCAACTATTTATGAAGAAAAGACACAACCATAAATTTTGAAATGACACAACTTTTTAAAGTGTAAATAGCATTTATTCGGATTGTTAACAAAAAATTAAATAACATAATATATATTAGTAAACAAAACACACATAATTTTTTTACAATAAGAATATCATTAGATTTTGGTTGAATAATTTTATTTTTCTGAGGACTTTTAAACACCTTGTATCCTGATAATATGTTAGATAAATAAATAAGTTTATGATAAAAAAAAATCATTATAGTAAGAAAATAAAAGTTAGATCCGAATGATTTTTTATGTGGTTTTAAACAATATAAATAGTTTTGAAAAGATACAGATTATAATTGATGAAAAAATACAACCATTTATAGTGAGAAGATGCAACTATTTATGAAGAAAAGACATAACCATAAATTTTGAAATGACACAACTTTTTAAAGTAAATGGCATTTATTCGGATTGTTTAAAAAAATTTAAATAACATAATATATATTAGTAAACAAAACACACATAATTTTTTACAATAAGAATATCATTAGATTTTGGTTGAATAATTTTATTTTTCTGAGGATTTTTAAACACCTTGTATCCTGATAATATGTTAGATAAATAAATAAGTTTATGACAAAAAAAAATCACTATAGTAAAAAAATAAAAATTAGATCCGGATGATTTTTTATGTGGTTTTAAACAATATAAATAGTTTTGAAAAGATACAGATTATAATTGATGAAAAAATACAATCATTTATAGTGAGAAGATGCAACTATTTATGAAGAAAAGACACAACCATAAATTTTAAAATGACACAACTTTTCAAAATGTAAATGGCATTTATTCGGATTGTTTAAAAAAAATTAAATAACATAATATATATTAGTAAACAAAACACACATAATTTTTTACAATAAGAATATCATTAGATTTTGGTTAATAATTTTATTTTTCTGAAGACTTTTAAACACCTTGTATCCTGATAATATATTAGATAAATAAATAAGTTTATGACAAAAAAATCACTATAGTAAGAAAATAAAAGTTAGATCCGAATGATTTTTTATGTGGTTTTAAACAATATAAATAGTTTTGAAAAGATACAAATTATAATTGATGAAAAAACGCAACCATTTATAGTAAAAAGATGCAACTAAAGACACAACCATAAATTCTGAAAAAACACAATTATTCAAGGTGCAATATGCATTTTTTTTTTCAGTTTGTTGTTATAGATAGATAAAATTGTATTAGATGTGGAAGCTAAGATACCGAAGATGTGTGCAAGCTCCGCACACAGAGCATTACATATATACATTTTGCGGCAATGCATCTGAACACTTTTCAAGACCAAAAAGAACATCTGAAGAACAAAAGCAACCCAAGGAAAAGCCATAGCTTTGTAACCGCACTTGTTAAGTTTCGGATTTTCAAGATCCAAACATTACAAATACATGGATCAATATTTGGTATACCGATCAAGACTTGCTCAACACCAATATTATGAGAACATTGTAACATGTATATGACAGCTCTTGAAGAAATAAATCTGTATTATGCTATTTACGAAGTAGATCACACCACTTCAAAACGAAATTATACTTCCCATGGAATCAAATCAAGATACCACAACGCCACCTAATGTCGGTGCATGTGCATACATTACTTGTCATAAAAACGACGATTTACGCCATAGGACACACCCCGGAATTTAATTTCCGGCGGCCGGCGATGGAGCATGTCTCAAGACACGGTTCATTAACATTGCCATCATCCTCCGGTGGAGCTACCCCAAATTTAAACTGTCGTGATTGACACATACACACACACAAGAAAGAGAGAAAAGCTCAAAGAGAAATCAAAGAAGGTTGTATATTTGCTTAAATCGATCCATTTTCCAGTGTTAGATAAGATTTCCTAATAGCTTAGAGTTGATATATATCTTTGTTGTTTAGAGAAGGCACCTGGCAACTATAATCTTTGAAGTTTGGTTCCATCAACAGAGGAACTCCCATGTAGTCTTTAAAGAATGTCTGGAGAAACCCAAATTCCACAGTTTCAGGGATTTAATCAAAGAAATTTACCGAACTACTTCTACTAAGTCTTCAAATTCATGTCTTGGTTAAGTAATGGATTAAGTTGGATTAAGTTGGATCGAAGAGAAGAATACCTGAGTTGGTAGTTTACAAGTATTGATGCATACTCCCACACATTTGCTCTCTTCTAGATACTGACACCTCTCCACCAAAACCTAATTCAATTCCAAACAAAGATTATATATATAAAAGAAGAAGAAATTTAACAGAAGGAAGCAAACTTAGAGTAGGATCATTACCCCACTATCCCAAGATTCTCCATTAGGAAGATCGATGACATTTACTTTGCAAGGTCCCATGAGCCATTGACATGTAAGTACAGTAACTCTAGCTTCAACGAGGAGAAACGTTTAGCAAAAGCATAAAGCTTCTTTGATTCACAATGTATGTTTTTGACTGAAGAGTTCAAAACGGAACTCACCAACCATCAATGCAGCTATCTTCCCTTGTGCTATAGGAGCAATGAGAAGCTTGTAAAGCTCTAATATGAGCGGAGGAAACAGCGATTTCAGGATTCGAACCGCTGCATCACTTGTCTCCGACCTAGTCCGACTTTTCAACAAGAGAAGCTTCACCAGCTCAATAAGCCCAACGTAACCGGGTTTCTCTGAATCCGACCCGACTTCCTGTTACACATACTTGACCATGAAGAAGACGAACATTATTACCCTATGTCAAAAAAAAAAACAAAAAATTGAAACTCACCTCGACGAGTTTGTTCCGGAACGATTGCATGAAGAAATCATCGAGGATTCCTCGCTTGTACTCCAACTTCGAAGCACCTTCATCTGATTTTAACACCTGAGAATCAAATCGGAATTTTTACAGAGGAAAACGAGTTAATTAATCGAGAAAGAAACTCAAAAATCGGAACTCACCTCTGAGGAATCAGAGACACGCCGGCAACGAACACGGCGCGCGAGAGCGAGACTTCGTGGGAAGGAAGGCTGTGGAGAAGCTGAGCCAGAGAAGACGATGCTCGTCACTAGGAGAAGGTAGGCCATTTCTGGGGCCTCGGACAAGTTTGACAAGACAATTAAACTACTTATCCGTTACGGCGTGATTTGGATCAAAATGGGTTTTTATTTGGGCCTGGCCCATATTTACCTTATCAGTTACGGCGTTTCTAAAGTTAATAAAACGCAGCGTTTTATAAAAATTAGACCCGACCCATTTAACCAGAAAATTTGACCCGTCTCTGTTCTTCCTCTTGAAATGAAAAGCATTTTTGCCTTTTATCTTTCAATAAAGATCTGAGCATTTGATTGAAAATCATGTGATGTTATCTTATATGCAAGATTAACGAGGAGTTTCAAAAAAAAATACGTCTCCAATGAAAATTGATTGATATATTTTAATCTCCAAGAAACAGATACAAATGTGTCAGTGGTGATAAATACAGGAGTGGAGAAGAGAGATGGGTTTGGGGAGGCGGGTTGCATCGAGGGTGAAGGAGCAAATGATCCTTGTGTGGAACTTGGAGGTGACGAGTCTGCCAAGAATGTAAGCCTTTGAACGGACGACGAGAGTGAGATTGAGGGGCACGGCCATTGTGTCGGGATGCAGAGAGACACCGCCGTATAGAGGAATCTGATGGCCCTGAACCACCGTGACTATGCTCCTTTCGCTCTTCCTACCCACCGTGAACTTGCCCATCTCACCGGAGGAGAGGAGAAGGTCGGAGTAGCGGAGGAGGAGAGGGGAAGCAGTGACGTGGACGGCGAAGAAGGTCGATGGGTTCCGGTAGAAGAGCCTGACCGTCGAGTTAAGAGAAAGCATGTCAGTGGGCACTCCGCTCAGATCGTTCCCTGCCTGCACGTTCAAGTTCCTCAACAGCATCCCCTGCAAGTTTCACACTTTTTCTACATTCATTCACTCTGTCACATTACAACCAAACCAATTTCACACTTGTCCTCCTTCCCATTCACACAGTTTTGTCAATCTTTATACATTTTCTATTTTGTTTTTTCATTACAAAACATTAGTAAAATTAAAAATATATTCATTGTTGGCCTTTTCGAGATTGTTTCTTTTAAGGAAAGTGAGACCGAACACACACATCCACTAGACGAGTCAGTTCTACTCTTAACTCAGTTCCGAGTCACGTCACCGAGTGAAGAATTGAGTTTAGATAATGACAATTACCTTTACCACAACTTTAGGAGGGTAGGATTTGCTGGCACCCCAGAGAATGAGAGAGAAGGCTGTGAACAAGAGGAGCAAGGAGAGGAGCAAGCAGGCGTAGAGCCGCACATTCCGATAAGGGTCGTCGTCATCTCCGCCGTCCGTTTCTTCGTCTATGGAGCTGTTGATGTATCGGCGGCGTTCGCTTCCTCCTTCGCGGATGGACTTGTAGGAGAGGAGGGCACGGTCGGAGAACCGAGAGGTGGAGGACTCGCGCGAGTGGTGGATGGGTGAGCAGTGGTAGTAATGTGGGTGCGAGGGAGAACCCATCGGGCTGCAACCCGACCCGAATGACATCTTCTCGACGTCGTGGTTCGAAGGGCTCTGTACGTAGTAGAGAGGTCGAATCGCCGAGCGTGGCGGCCAGGCCGAGTCAATGCTAGTGGCCTCCGAGTCAGTCTTGGCATGCATGTCTCTCTTCTCCACTCTTTTGTTTGTTCTTTTTTCCTTTGGCACAAGAGTAAGTAAGTTAATGGAGGAAAGAAGCAGCAAATTAAAAACAGAGATGCTCTTAGTGCCGTGTTTGGCTCTGTCTTTGTCCACACCACTTCTATGATCAATTCAACAAAAAGATCAGAAACGATTGAAGTTTTAAAACGCAACAAAATGGTTTGGAAGAGTGTGTAATAAAAGCGAAGCCGTATGGGGTCGTCTTTTCAAGCAACTTGGTCCCATTTTAGCGTTTCTCGTTACGCGCGTTTACACGCGTGGCCAAACAGCTCTCACGTTTTCAGAAGGTGAGACACACGCTCTATAATTAGCGAGTGGGATTTTGAAGGTTGTTGACTGTACTGACATTAAAACCCAGAATGTCTTTGAAGATCTGAAAACTCTTTTTTTTTTAAATGTAGATTTTTATCGCATTTAATTTCTTTACTTACTAATTTTGGTGAGGAAAAAATGGTCGACGTAATTGGCCCTATCAACATTATATGTTCCTTATATAATTGGTCTGGACCCAATCACTTGAGGAATTTTAATTTTTGGGGGAACGAAACAAATTAACATCTTTGTATTCGGAATCTTGAGTTTACAATGAAACAAATAACATTTTCCAATAAGAAACGTGACGTCTACAATCTACATTCTTCTTTTTATAGTACAGTTTTAAATTTAGTGCTGAAAGAGTTTGGACAGAAAATATATGGTTTACCGTATAAAAGGAGTTAGATTAGTAAATGGTGGTGATACAGCTCACAAAAAAATGTGACAACATCTCATGAGATATTTATAGAAAGGTTTCTAAATATAATTGAATCATAGGCATGAAAGAGGTACAGCTGCAACTGAAGTTGAAATCAAACAACCTTCTTAACTAGTGTCCCTATCAATTTCAACCACTTTATTATCTTTCTTCCTAACTTCTTATTGGTAATCTCTTCACATTCTTATCATTTGATCTCTAAACATGATTTCAAACTTATGTTTCTGCAGTGACATGGAACGTTACCTCTCACATACTCACAGTTTCTAAACTAGAAAGCATCCAAACTGCAAAAACAACAAGAGCTGCATCAAGTGCGCAAAACGAAAAGAGGAACCATCCTAGGCCCATTTCATTTGGGCCAGTTAAAATGGGCCCAGATACATATACACACACACACTAACTGTTGGGTCTTTGCATATGTATCTCTCTCTACTATATCATAGAGTTTCTACACACAAAGCAAGCAATGTTGGCAAGCAGAACTATGCCAAAGTGATCTTACACAACATTTTGTCGTGAAACATAAGATCTTCATCATATGAGACCTTCCCTCGATTTGATATCGTTATGGTTTTTCTAGTCGAAGCCCATTACAATCAAATTGTTGGTACGCTCTTAGCATCTTAACTAATGTATTGGCCCAACCCATTGGTCTTGAGCAACCTTGTTTATTAGGTTTGGACATTGGTCTTGATACATGTTTAATCCAAAGACTGTGTGGCTTTTAAGAGCCACCGGAAACACTTCCATTGAAAATCTCAATAGTATCGCCGTGCTCAACACGGTGCCACCGGAATGACCTTTCATCATCCATTACATTCTGTTTGTATATAAAGAAATAACCTTCTTGTGGCAGACTTAACTGAAACCTCTGTTGAATCTTGTTCAGCTCTTTCCTCAGCTCTCCAACGTTATCACCGGCGTTCACCTCCACCGGAATCTTCCTTGTCCCGCATTTCGGCAACACCATTACTCTCAGCTTCTTCGGGTTGTTGTTGCTGTTGTTGTTGTTGCTCCCCGCCATCGTCACAGTCGAATCTTGATGACCGTTGATGATCTGTTCTGTTGGGTTTGGCGGTGGAGATTGCTCGGGTTTGAACACTTGATGATTGCTGCGGTTTTGGTCGTTGCCAGGAGAAGAGATGAAGAGCTGGAGACGAGAGTTGTGGAGGATCTGACATTGTTCGATATCATGATCGTCTTGAAGAGCATTGCCTTGAAAGAAGAGGATTTGTTTGGAAACAGGGATACGTTGATACTTCTCGATTTTCTGTTTGATCTCTGAAACCTTATCGAAGTAACCTACTTCAATGGAGAATGGTGAGCCTCCCTGAGTTTCGAAGAACACATCCATATGTGTGTAGTGGTCCGAGATCAATGGAGACTGATGAAGAGTAAAGAGAGTAAGGGTGAAGAGAGAGATAAGATGATGTCAACTTCGGAGAGTTTTTGTAACTAAAGGTTCCTCCTAATGCGTTAACGAACAACCTATTTCTAAGGGATTTTTGCTATTTTTGCTCTGTTTTATATCTCTTCCTTCTATAATTTTCTTTTTTGAAAGAGATTTATCTATTCTTCTTTGTCAACAAAAGAAAAATATTATATTTTTTAATCTTCAAGTGTGCAAAAACTCAATTCAACTTTCAATCTCATCTCCTTATGTTTAAAAATGGCCAAGGAAAGTAAGATTTTGAGGATATACTGATAATTAAATCGTACACAAAAAACAAAACAGAGAAAGAAAAAAAGCACATGCCTCTGGGAATTTAACAAACTTAATTCTATCTATAAAACCCTGAGTTAACCTAAACTGAATTTGTAGAAAGAAAAAAGACTGGAACAAAAGAGAAGAAACAGAGCATGGCTTAGACACGGACCAGATCGAAGCGGCTTAGCTTAGGCTTAGGCTCAGGCTCAGGCTCCACCTACACTGATCACAGGCTCAGAGGTGGATTCTCCAGGTGGAGAAGAAGCAGCAGCAGGAAGAAGAGGAAGTGATCGCTTCTTCTGCGCGCGTGGAGGCAAATGCTTCACATGTTTTCTCGAGCTAACCGAAGCCCATGGTAAGAAAACGCCAGTACCGCCACCGGTTCCCATCACATTGGGACTTGGTAGTACCATTGGTTGAACCGGTGGTGGTGCCATCATGACCATTGGTGGACGAAGGACTCCAAGTTTTTGCATATCATAGCCGTTGAGGTATGGAGTCGGTGCCATTGAGTAGTGACATGGTTGTTGTTGCCACATTGTCATGACACCTTCTTGGTGAGGACTGTTGGGTTGTGAATGGGTATGGTGTGTTTCAGGTCGTACACGAAAGAACGTGATGCTGACTCTTTTGGTGTTTGATGGACACATTACATGTCTTGCCATGTCTGCACTGTTCCCTCTCATCACCAACAGAGATCTATATTGATGAGATCCGAGTGATGATGTTAGCTGAGAGAAATCAAACAGTTTTTTAAGAATTAAGGAGTGGGGTTTTATTTTTTCTTACCCTTGTTTGAGAGAGAGAGTTAAGGGTCCTTTGAAGTTGCCTTCGTTGTCACTAGAGAGAATGCGTCCAAAGGCCATTGTTGATTCAGAGAGGACAAGAGTTGAGATTGGTTGTTCTAGATGAGGTGGTTTGAGGAAAGGCTGTGAGTATTCACCCTGCGACAAGAACGGTATCCTAAATGTTAATTCAGAGCGAGAAGAAGAAGAACGAGAAAGCCTTAACAAGATTGTGATCCATGGAGATATGATATACCTCTTCAAAGAAGTTGATGACACAGCCGTTTGGCCTCTTGTATTCTGGGATGAGTCTCCATGTGAGAAAGTGATCAATGACACTCTCAAGAAGTGCTGGAATTGGCTCGATGTTAACTGCAATCCAACAAAGTCTACAGGTCAAGCCAACCACTTTCACCAAACCATTTAGACAGAGTCCTGCGGATCAGAGCGATTCCTTACCAGAGTCGTTGCTGTCGTTGGAGTTGTCATCCTTAACATGCCCAAAGATCGGGACACCAAGCTGAATCAGCTCTCTCTTGTTCCCTTTTATCTGTTTGTTGAACAGGATAAAGCTATCACCTGTATTCATCATGATCATGAGTAAGCACCGGTAAACTCTTGAAAATTCTATAGTGTGCTTCGAGTAAGAAAAACTCACCTGAAAGCTTCCCGTTTTGGCCAGATTCTCGGAGTTCTGCCACAAGGTCAATCAGTTTGGATAACTCATCTTCTTTTAGTAACTCTTCATACAGCTTTAGTCCCTTCACAACATTCACCTGTCATCACAAGATTAATTGATCAAACAATCATCATATGCATATGTGTCCCTCAAAAGAACACAACAAAGGAGAAGAAAACACTACTCACAGTGTGGCCTTTCACTTGCTCTTTGGCTTGGAAACCTTTGATAGGCTTGATCTCACATGAGCGTGCATCGCAATCTTCATGGTTCTGGCATATAATCTGTGCAGTTTCCGCAGCAGCAGTTTGTTGAACATCTTGATGAGAACCTATGAAAACCCATAAAAAACAAAGTTTTTGTTCATACTTCATGCACAACATAGAGTCTTTAAGCAATTAACTAATATGATCTTTTGTCTTTTAGCATGAAAACCATCGACTAGAGTAAAGACAGTTTCTTTTTTCTCTCCAACTCATGGACCATCCTAAGAACATTTAGTTTTCCTTGTAAAACGTATCAGAGAAAGTCAGATATTCAATGTAGAAGACAAGAGTGAAAAGTCTATAGTGAGAAAACCATCGACAAGAGTTAAAAGACTATTTTGTTTTTTCTCCAACGCATGAATGATCATCTCATGGACCATTCTTATGAAAACTTATAGTAGTTTCTTTAGAGAAAGTCAGAGATTTGAATGCTGATATGACTCTAATTCCAATGTATAGAAAGGACAAGACTACAGAGTCTATGCCTTGGTACACGTGTCTCGTTCTATGCTGTTCACCTAAAACTTCAACTTTCAACACGAGTGAATAAAATACATCACCAAGAAGAAAAAAACTGTCAAAAGACTGGTAAAAGATGTTTTCAAAATAAAATAACCTTTTTAAGACTGCTGACTTTTTTTTATGGCCGTGAACAAAAAGCAAAAAGCTAAAAAGAAAAGTTGAAAATAAAAATAAATAAAAAAATGCTCGTGAGTCGTGAGGGATTCGAACATTCGGGAGGAAAAGGAAAAATAAAAGAAGGGCGGCACGGAAAATCGTTGGGACCACGACTGATGACGACCTAATTGTTGTAATCCAACGGCTGCTAAGAGCTCTCACCATTCGGAAAAAAGAAAAAATAAAATCATCACACGCGAATCAATGTGAGATTGATACACTTTGATGCGTTTTACAGTTACACATCAAACTAAAGCACAAGACAACAAAAACAAATGTTGCTACTAGCGAGTGGCTACATTGAGAAATGGGATCCTAATCCTAACAAACGAAACGCTCAAAACGGCTACGTTTCTTGCTCTTACCTTATGGAGTCAGAGAGACTTTTCAGATTATGGCTTTTTCAACACAATTACAACAGATTCGTCCTTTTGTACGACTCTCATCAATTTTCGTGTTAATTTTTTTTTTTATCTAGTAGTATAAGGACTTGGCTTTATTAGCAACAATAAATTCCAGCAATTAATTTACCTATAAAGATAATGTTTAAGTTTTCTACACATAAATTAAAAATTTGCATAGATATGTTTTTCTAAGAATGCCGACCTGATGAGGTTTAACTATTGATTGAATTGTATTTTGTATTTATACTAACTCGGTATAATGTATTTATACTACTATTTTGGAAAAAAAAAACAATTTTTAAAATATTTTATATAAAAAAGGAGGGAGTATATAGTAAAAAAAATTAAGTCAAAATAGTAGCATGAATACATTTTCTTTAATTAATCTCTAGGTTATGAAACCATTTACTAGACGACAAAATATAAATTATATTATATGGTTACTCTTTTGCAAATGCGTTAAACGTGAATAATTATTTTATTAAAGCAGCGCAATGCTTAGTTTAGTTTTTTACTGGAGAACAAGGTTTTTTTGGGTAAGTATTAGTGTGGAACGGAGAAATAAAAAGAGATTCATTTCTTTAAGGGGGGATCTGGTTATTTTTGGTAAATTTGTTTCTAAATATCGGATCCATGCCATAAAATGATGCAATAAAATCTCATATACTTTGATACAAATAAACAAATTAATAACGAAGTAGGAGGAATTAATAGTCAAAATCGTTAAGAATGCATATCGGATCCAGTGGAGGGAAACACGTACTTGAATCTTGAAACTTGAATTAGTCTCAGAAATACTTTATTTTCTGAGGTAATCAAATATTCGATTTGTTTCTTAAACAAGGAATATATATTTATTTTTAAAAATACCTTTTCATCAAACCTATTCCCATAATTTTAATGGAGATTTTTTTTCTCCTCACCAACCACAGAACTAGTTTGCTGTGTACAGAGAATCAAATGACCAAACTTCAAAGAATATGCTATTAAACAAAAAAGAAACAATAATAACTAAAGAAAAAAGAAAGAAAGAAAAACAGAATCAGATTCAGATGAGCTTATTATGAAAACCGATGATTGTAAATTATATACTGTAGTAGAAATTATGGATCCAAGAAAATGAAACGAAAAGATTCTTTTGAACGATTTAGAAGTTTGTGAGGAGGAAAGTTTTACAGTTACTTACCTGAATCAGTGATATCACTGCTGGGAGAATCGTCTTCCACGTCTTCTACATCTCCGTTTAGCTCATTCTCCGTTACTTTCTCGCCGTTAAAACAGACTTTCTTCACCTCCTCCGCCTCTGTTTTCTTCTGTTTCAGATCCTCCGCCTCTGTTTTCATTTCTTTCAGATCCTCCGCCTTCTTAGCCGCCACTTTCTGAAGCTCGATCGCGACTTCGGCGATGGAATGGTACTTCTGCATCTGAAGAACAGGGATCCAATTGAGACGCCGGCGATGGATCGCGGCGAAAACCGCCTCGTACTCCGATCCAGACAACGCCTCGTCTCCTCCTCCTCCTCCGGTTTTCCGAAGATGCGCGCACATCGTGTCGATTATCGCGTTCGCCGCCGCGAATTCGCCTCTGAACCACGAGATTAACGCATCCTTACCCAAGCCATCGGAAACCACAGCTCCAGGCGGAACCTGAACCGGAACAGCCACCGCCTTCGCTGCCGTCGCGAAGGCAGGGGAATAAGCAGAGGCTGATCGATCTGTCTGGCGTGCTGGCGCTGCCGCTATCGTCATCGGAAAAAAAAAATCCGACGAAGAGATCAAATATTTAGTTTTAGTATCTTTATTCTCTCTCACACTCGGGATCGATATTCCGATCAGTCGGCGGCGAGAACAGAATAAACAAGATGGGTTGGAAATGTGGGCCGGGTTGGGTTGGGTCGGGTCGGGTCAGGTCGCTGCACATGCAGTATGATGGAGAAGGTTTTAGGTGGGTTCGTTTCAATATATATTGGAGCAGCCGGGAAAGGGATCCGTACAGGTGGGAGAGACTTATGGGGATGACGTGGCAGACTCTCAAAGCTGACGTGGCTAAACTTCTGGCCCTTTGCTCCGTTCCTTATTCCACCGATATATAAGATTGGAACAAGAGTTAAATTTGGTTATTATACGGATACCGGAATAATTTGGTGATGTTTTGACATATTTTACTGTTTATGGATTCAATTAAACAATACATGCAAACACAAAACACAATAATTGACTCTACATATTATAAAATCCGGGAGACAAATTTACAATCTGCAAAAAGATCAACTATATTTTCTGAACATGATGTAAAAACACTAATTCATTGTCAAAGAGATAAATTGTAATTCTACTTTCGCAAAAAAAAAAATTGTAATTCTACTATAAGTTATATAATATAGCTATTTTACAATTTTTATCAGAACTAAACTTAAACAACCTCAATCTTAAAACTTAAAAAATCTTTCACACATTAGTTATGAATATATGTTTTACTTTTGTTCCTATTGCGATTTAAAAATGCGCGCGTTGCTTAAACAAAAATATTATATTCACGTTATTCTAAAAGAGTCATATTTCTTAAGTTCTTTCAAACGTTGTGTGACATGGTCGACCTTTTTGGGTTGACGTTAGCCACAACAATTCATTGGGGGAGAAAGAGGCAAGAATAACAAAAGGACGGCGAAGAACAAAAGAGTTCGATTGCCATGTTACATAAATGGCCTCCTATTATGTACTATCGTATTAATCATCCGTTCTATACAAAAAATGTTATTACTGTACCATTTATAAGCTATTTACAATGGCTTTACGGCATTTCCAACCATAAAGTTAGTGTTAAAATCACATCAAATTTGATGTTTTGATGTTTTACTTTATTTTTCATTTTTAACCACAACACCAAGTTTTACACTAAAATATCATTATATTATAAAATTTAAATAAATATTATTTATTTGTAAACTGATTTAAATCTCAAATCTATAATAAAATAATTTAATCTCTTACTAATTATTTAGTTGCATTTAGTTTTTATGTTTGTTTGATTTTAAATTTGTAATTTTCTGTTTTTAATGTTTGAATTTAATTTTAATATATATTTTTAATCTTAATCAATTTACATTTTAAGTAAAATATTTTATAACTTAAATATTAATAAGATATTTTATATTATTTATAACAAAAATATAAAACTATTAATGGTATACTTATTTGTTTAGTCTTAGATGAATAATAATTAAATTTCATTATTTAATAAAAAGTTAAAAATAATTTTTTTATTGTTTAGTATTGTGAATAGTGTCATACTAATAGTATAACACTGTTCACAAAATACTAAATTTGATGTTTTGGTGTTGAATATGCAGTTAAATTAGAGTGAATCTCATAACAAATTTGGTGTTTTGGTATTGAGTTGGATATGACTTTAATTATAAGTGTAATTACAGTATTAAAACTATATTTTTCTTCTCTTTTTAATATGCATAAAGTTGCATATTTACCGGATAATTTCTATTGTAATGCATAATTGTGAATGATATATTTATCTTCAAACATTGGTATCAGATAGAAAATTTTTAGATATAATAGTATGTTTGATCTAGTATCAACTGTCACAATTTTACGTGGAAGAATATAATTAGTTATTTTTGTTTAAAATGTTATGTGTTCTTTTTTTTTTCTAGATAGATTTCCTTACAGCTTTTTATTTTCTTGTAGATCGTTAGCATATGTGCACCAATATTGCTATTCTATTAATTGCAAAACAGAAACAAAAATATATATATTGCTATTCTATTTATAACTTTGGTATACGTGGAAATGTAATAAATTAATTAGTTTTCCGTGTTCTGCGTTTTTAACTTTACACCAAACGAACTCATGAGTCATGATGTCAATGTCCATGTCCATGAGGCCCGTGGAAGATGATCTAAGAGATGACGTATAAAATAATATTAATCAAACTAAATTGCATATATGTCCAAGACATTAATTAGTCTAAGAACTTTCTACTATTGTCTTTGTTCTCATTTGACTTCTTCATTTGTTTAAAAGTCAATCGACGTCTAATAGTTTAAAAGGTCCCTTCTACGTGATTAATTACAAGTTTATAACATCAGACATCACGGTTAGAACCACAATAGAGCAGAATCAGACATCACGGTTTGATGATATAAAAATAGAGAAACCAATGGTTTTAAAAACATTTCTAACTAAAGTTAATCATCTCATAATATTCAATATGATATGATCATATCGTAAGATAGTATCCTTATATATTAATTGATTTTTTTTAAAAAAATTAACTTCATTTTTATAAATAATTACAGTTGTGTTAATTTTGATAACATGTTATCATCATAGAGTTTTTTCAATAATTTTAAAAACAAAATTTGTTACTAAAATAATTATATCATGTGTCATTCATATTCATTGCTTAAACCATAATATATATCAATTATATATACATAATTATCATTTAATTATAAAGATATCTTCTTCTTTTTATCATTTACCAAAAATAATATTATATTCATTATTTCTTTACACTATGTTTCTTTTCTTGCTTTTATTTAAGTGTATTGTGTACAAAAATAATTATCACATCATTTACATATATATAGATTTTTTTGCACGTATATTATTATTTGATTTTTTTAAAGAAATATAAATTATTCAACTGATGAATAAATATAAGTATATTTTAAAAGTTACATATTGAAAATAAAAAGATATAAATAGTTCAAAAATCATTATAAAAACACATAATACATTTTAGTAAAAACACAAAACTTGATTTAATAGTCATCAATATTTATAAATATTTTTTACTTAATATAATTTGCTAATCAAACCATATAAATTAACCAAATAATATAAATATTTAAATTTGATAAAAAATTTAGAAAAATATAGTATATCAAATAGTCAAAATATTAAAAATAATTTAATGTGTTAAAAATTTATAATATTATAAATAATTATGTTCAATTAAGAGTTATATATTATAAATTTTTAATTTAATCAATAAAATAATCTGATGTACAAATTAAACTACTATTTTATTAAAATTAAATTATAATATGATCAAAATTCTTTTATATTATTAATAGTTTTATTGGACTAATAAATTAAGAGTTATAAATATTGAATCTCTTATATATAATTTAGATTATTGATCCATAGTATTAAACTTTCAAAAATTAATCTATTTTATATATTTTTTATGTATATTTAATATTTTAAAATAAAATTTGTATTTATTTATGTTTTTTAAATATTAATGTTTTTATAATCATAGTTTTTTACGAGTTAGACTACATATATAATTACATTCATATAAATAAATAATATTAAAATTAATTATAAATTTTTATAAATAAATACTATTGTTACACAAATATATTATATGTACAAAAATAATTAAATTATTTTCATTTTAATTTATTTTAAAATCATGTTCAGTAAAATTATTTGTAAATTTTTTATCATGCGCTTAGCGCAAGTTATTACGTCTGAGTTCTTATAAGATTTAATTATTCTAACCGCAACCGGACCAAATCACCGAGTTAAGTAGATATTGTTTAGTAATTTATTTCACATGAGTGTGATTAATTCAGTTAACTAATATCGACATAGCTAGCAAAGTCTATAGCATTGGAAATTTGGAATGCAACATTAGTCTATACACATATTAAATGTAATTGAATTTAAGCGTTGAAAGTTTGTTGAATCCGATGGTGTTTGACAAAGGCAAAAGTTGAATTTTATGGTAAGACTAAATATAAATTACCCATAAGGAGCAAAATGTTATGTAGCCTAGTCAAGAAAGGTTAGAAGCATTGAATGATGGGTTAGAAGGAACGAAATGAAAAATTATGGGACCCGAATGAAAAGTCTACAAATTGGTGGGGTGAGGTGAAATTTGGGCCTACATCTTCCAGATTTGTGGGTCGCAGGAACATCTCCACCCTCTAAAATCAGTAGATTCCCTTTTCCACTACCTAAGGCACAAGCTCAAAAGAAGCATGGGGCTAACTACGAGTCCTTAGTGACCCCTAAAAGTGTTGCTCATTTTATTCATAAGAAAGTTTCTACTCATGGTCCATGATAATACATATAATATACCAACTCTCTCATTTTGTTGATCGGAATTTCTATATCTAGATACATATAATCTTTAATTTCATAAGTGCACTAAACATTTTTTTTTCAACAATCTCATATTCCTATAATTGTCTAGATATTTAAACCATGAGAATTAAGTTTATATAACGTAGATAACAAATTTATATGTTATTATAAAAAATTTTAAACTCAATAATCTCTGAAAAAAATCTAGATTAATTTTAAAATAAGCAAAACTTTCCAATACAAATATACCATGTTAGATCTTCAGATGAACACTCATAGCTAAGTACTGGCACAGTCACACAAGAATTGATGATAAATATAACATAGGTAAGTATGGGTGTCATTGATGCTCAGGAACATTATAAAATCATGTTTAATAAACATACAATATATGTTAAACATTCGTGTATAACAAAATAAACGGTTATACGTCTGATTAATCAAATGTACATTTAACTACTACATTTTCATACTAATAAATGATATATATGTGTATGTATATTCATGACTTGATTGGTAAGTGCTGTAAAATCTGTACATAATTATAATTTTTTTAAAGCATTAATTTTTTTCCAATCATACTTTTTACAGATATTTTAAAACTACAGATTTTTTTTTCTTTCTAATTTTTTTTGACCGTAGAAAGTAAAATATGTAAAGAAAAAAATTTGAGCTTTGAAAAATTAATAATCATACAACACTAAATCTACAGAATTAAAATTTATAGCCACAACAAAAAATTTACAGATTTATTTCTACAATAAAAAAAATTAAAGCTACAGCAGTAACCAACCAATCAAGTCCCTACATTTCATTAGGAAATAAAGTTACGATCTCTAAGAGAATATTGTTAATGCGTTGGACTGTAATGAAGTGTTTATATTCTTTCTTCTAACTTCGATTGGGCTTTAGCTATCTAAATGAAGTAAGTCTTTAAGTAGTCTTTTTCCCCCATTAATATATAATATAATATACATATATGAAGAATTTAAACATGTCGAATTGTATGTGGATGTCGCATTATTCGTGTATACACTGTATAGATAGAGATACCCTCCTTCCATGTGAGAAAATGGTCCAACCAAGTAAAAGCTAGCTTATATATTTGTTTTTCCCGAACCTTTATATACAATTGTAGACTAGTTAATTTTATGAATCATTAAGTATTCATTGGCGTAAAGCTTATAATTATTAATAATGGAATATGAGCCAGGCTCTACAAGAAGAAAGGTAGAATAGTTTCTTTCTTTTTCGTAAATGGCTAAGAATAATTTATCTCGAGAATGAGGAATAAAAAAGATCACTTTATAATATATGTATTATGTATATAAATTTATCTTTTTGACAGTATATAAATATATATATTTTTAGGTGGTTATATAATATACAATGACGTTAGTATTATTGAGAGATACAACTAAATTAATGACAATAAGAACAAAAAATACGTATTGAAAGATTATCACTGATTTTCATAAAAATGAAGTTAACTAAATTTAGAGATGGAAGCAACATAAGTTCCATAAACTGAATAAAAAAATACATTAAAAAAAATAATATATATATATATATAATATTTAAAGATTTTCCTGATATTAGATTTTTAAAATATTGACCGTTATCTCTGCTTGGTAAAAAGAAATTGCGATCTCCAAAATATGGAATTTTTATATAAAGGATCTTGCATATTATGAGGTAAACCATTTACATAAATCATGTATATGGTTAAAATCGTTATATCATCCGAAGAGGCTACTGCATTTTAACCATATAATAATCCAAAACCCGCAAATTATTGACGATGTTACTAGATAATAATCTAAAACTCAGCTTTTAGTCTCTAAATTTCAAAACATGAAACATTTAGAGATATGTAATAAAGCAATTAAATTTGAAAAAGTGATATTCTTTTTTAGCTTTGCCGTTAAAAGGTACGATAAATGGAAATATGCTCTTCTCTTCTGAGCCTCAAAGCGTTAATTAGATTCTTACATATCTTACATGTCAAAGTAGTAAAGAGATATAGTTGGTAACACATTCCCATGTGGTCCGGAAAACAAAAGTTCCCTTTATTTTGTGGAATATTAATCAGCAAATTGGTGTAGTACTCTCTATATTGCATACGTAAAACATTTTAATGTCGACGTAGTCATTTATTTTGAAAACATATATTCTAAGAAAAGATGAATGTGTCTTACGTCCTGTGGTTGGTCCAATGATCTCAGGCTTCTATAAGGTATTTGAAAAACGTCGTAAATGGTTAACTTCTAAACTCTGGATTGTGTATGTTCATGAATTGAGTTAGAGAAAGCTCTCATGCATATATCAAATCATAATACTGATAATCATCTATTTGAAATTTACTATAATTTTGGATGCATTTTCGATGAAAAGATATGATGCACGAGTTACTATTTTTCAATAATTTGCGGTTTTTCTTTTTAAAATACAATTTGGCGAACCCATGTTCGAACTTTGAAGGTTATATCTATGGTTTTCATGTACACTGTATATATATGTTTTTGGGGTCAAAAAATGTTTTTTATGTAAACATTAATTAAAATCTTTTTTTTCAGAATATCAGGATAACATTGTAGTATTGTACAAAAATCTAAAAATAGTAAGATAGTAATCCCGATTGCCTAGTAATTTTTTTTGGTTTTATCAATACTTAGTGCTTTGAATAATTTGGTTGAGTCACGGATGAGTAAACTAAAATGTTGAATTTGTTCAATATTGAGTATTGACGTTGCTATACTCTATTTTAGATGTTTATGACACATTAATTGACAAAAACAAAGATATTTTAGGACACATTATGTAATTCAGGCAAATAAAATAAAACCCTTTTCAATAATAAAAATGGCATATAGTTTAATTTGAAAGTTGAGTCTCTATTTTTAATTTGCAAAAGTAATGATATATATGTATCTATGAAACTAATTTGTGACCCCTGCTCTGGAATCTCGCATGATTTTAATTAGCTCAAACTCCAAAAGGATCCAAAGGAGGAAACATTACAAAATAGGAGATCCCTCTCTTTGCCAAAGAGTCGGCTTCAACGTTTGTTAAACATAAAACAAATAACAAAAGAACCTATAAGAGATCTAATGTCAGAAACGAGTTCACGAGTCCAAGGCTGCCTTTATTCTTGAGACGTACAAAGCAAAGCTTCCATGGGTTGTTGTTGATATAGCGGTGGAAGAATCGTGATCTTCAAAACTTTCATGTAAAAAGTCTCCATCATCGTTAATGGCATCTTGAGTTTAACTCTTGGCTTGGATATAAAATATTTTATGTATTGTCAAGAAATAATAGGATTGATGTAGACTACATATATTAAGAATTAAAGTTAAGACGGTCCATGGCAACGCATGTGATTATACGAACTACAACTAGCATGCAACGTGGATCAATGGGAACCGTTGCTTTCGAAAGCATAAGAGAGACATCAATTACAAGCAAATCGCGTAAACACTACAAAATGCATCAATATATGTGACATTTGAGATGGTTTTGACAAAGATAGACAACTCCTTTCCGACATAAATGTCTATTAACAATACGCAACTTCATTATTTCCGGATCTCTTTCATGTGTAGTTGTAGACAAGTTGTACACTCTATATTAATTCAAAATGATGAATATTAATTTAGCTAGAGAGTTCTACATCTTTGGATATAAACATTTTTTCAAATATAAATGAGTTATTTCTTCAGAAATAGTTTATCTTCCCCCACTATGTAAGTGTAACTATAACGAAAAAGTAAAGCAACAATCGAATTTGAATATGTAACAATAATTTAAGCAGCTTTCTGAAAAATTTATCGTAATTTTATTTATCATCAATCGTTCGCAATTTTAAAACTTTTCTACAGAAAGTTCGTGACTTCAAAGTTCAAACTGTGAAGTGTAAACAAAAAAACACTTAGAGGTAAACGGATAAGCCCTTTAAAGAAAAACCTCAGGGCCCCCAAAATCTCAAACCGTGTTGTGAAGTTGTGAGTGATCCTAAGGCCCAATTACAATAGTAAAAATACTAAAATGGGCTTATCCGGGTCGGGTGGGTTTTAAGAAAATATGGGTCTAGATTTCGACAGAAACCCTCAGACGACTAAAACCCCATCTCACTTCGTTTGCCTGCGATTTATCTCTCTCTCTGTGGTTCGAGCCATCTCTCTCTCTGTGTAAAGTCAAAATGGCGTCCGTTGTTCTTCGAAACCCTAGCTCGAAGCGCCTTGTTCCACTCTCATCTCAGATCTACTCCCGTTGCGGTGGTTCCATTTCCTCGTCCTACTCAATCTCTCACTCAATCGGAAGAGATGATCTCTCCCCCTCAAGTTTCGGAACTTCGTTCTGGAGATCGATGGCCACTTTTACTCGAACGTGAGTTTGTTTTCCCTTTTTTTCCCCATTGATTATGTGACCGATTCTGTTTGGTGTCGATTGATGAATGAGTGAATTGGTTAGGGAAAAGAGTTTCCTTTTGTCTGTTTATAAATCTCTCTAAATTTCTGTTCATGTGGCAGAAAACCTCATGTAAATGTTGGAACAATCGGGCATGTAGATCACGGCAAGACCACTTTAACTGCTGCTATCACAAAGGTATCTCTTTTATAAAACTTTTTTCCTAGTTTCGATGTAGGAAACTTCCAAATGTTTGTTCTAAGCTTTGATGAGTAAGATAATGGGAAAATGTTTTTCAACTTGTGATTAGGTTCTTGCTGAGGAGGGCAACGCTAAAGCTATCGCCTTTGATGAAATTGATAAAGCTCCTGAAGAGAAGAAGAGAGGAATTACAATTGCGACGGTCTGTGTTTAATTTTCTTGTCTTATTTTCCCATCTCACAAGTTGTTATTTTTCCTCTAGTCTTTTTTTACTTGATGTTACTTGGTTCTGTAGGCTCACGTGGAGTATGAGACTGCAAAGCGTCACTATGCTCATGTGGATTGCCCTGGGCACGCAGATTATGTTAAAGTAAGATTCCAGACATTTGTTTGTTTTGCTTCATATAGGTGTTGCCAATAATGAGATTCTGTAAATGACTATACTAGTTTCCTTGGTATATTTCGTTCTTCAACTCCTGTTAAGTGATTATTATCTAGGAATGCATCATAATCTAGTATATATGTGAGCTGTTTAGTGGAGTTACATGCATCACTATATGGATTTCATTGGAAATGTTTTTATGAACACTTCAAGCCTTAATGCTTTCGTTGCTGACTTTCAGAATATGATTACTGGAGCTGCACAAATGGATGGTGGAATTCTTGTGGTTTCAGGTCCAGATGGACCCATGCCTCAGACAAAGGAACATATTCTACTTGCACGCCAGGTTTGCATTTTTACAACCTGAGCACTTGAAGTTACTAAAAAATGAGTTAGATATTATTGGTTTAAATTCTAATTATGTGATGTTCAACAGGTTGGTGTTCCATCGCTTGTGTGCTTCCTGAACAAAGTTGACGTTGTGGATGATCCAGAGCTTTTGGAGCTTGTAGAGATGGAACTGCGTGGTTTGTAGATTTTTTTCATTTAACAAAATTTATTTCTTTTAGCATATGAAGTAAGTACATGCTCTCTGACATAAACTCTTATCTCCATGCAGAACTTCTCAGCTTCTACAAGTTTCCTGGGGATGATATTCCCATCATCAGAGGATCTGCTCTGTCTGCATTGCAGGGCACAAACGATGAAATCGGAAGGCAGGCTATATTAAAGCTAATGGATGCTGTTGATGAATACATACCTGACCCTGTTCGTGTGCTCGACAAGCCTTTCTTGATGCCAATTGAAGATGTTTTCTCGATTCAAGTAATATTAATCTACATCCTCGTCCTTTTTTCCCCATTCACTCATTTTGAAAAATCAGTTCTGATAGTTTTCTTTTTCTTGAAGGGACGTGGAACTGTTGCAACAGGTCGTATTGAACAGGGAGTCATTAAAGTTGGTGAAGAAGTTGAGATATTGGGTTTAAAAGAGGTAAGTGTGCATATGAATATTGCGTCTATTCAGCCAAAATGGTTATACCTTGTCGGCTATAACAATTAAGCATAACTGTGAGATATTATTCTCAGGGGCTTCCAATGAAATCAACTGTAACTGGGGTGGAGATGTTCAAGAAGATTTTGGATAATGGACAGGTAAATGCAATTTCGAAAGATTAGGAAAGACAAGTTGTGGGCATATAAGATACTGATTAAATCTTGGCTTCCATTATGTTAGGCTGGTGATAACGTTGGACTTCTTCTGCGTGGGCTAAAGAGAGAAGACATTCAGCGTGGAATGGTAAAGCGTAGACATCTTTATGACTACTGAATGATCGAATAATATAAGACACAACATAGCAAAAAACAAACTTTACTGAGGCTTTCTCTCTCTCTCTCTGGTTGCTTGTTAGGTGATTGCTAAGCCTGGTTCATGCAAGACATACAAGAAGTTTGAAGCAGAGATTTATGTGCTCACAAAGGACGAAGGTGGACGTCACACTGCGTTTTTCTCCAACTACAGGCCTCAGTTTTACTTGAGGACTGCAGATATCACTGGAAAAGTAGAATTACCGGAAGACGTTAAGATGGTTATGCCTGGTGACAATGTCACTGCTGTTTTCGAGCTAATCATGCCTGTCCCACTGGAGCCAGGTCAAGAATCTTACAGACACTCTCTCTTCTTTGTGTGTTCAGTAATGTCAGATTCTGACATGTTAACATTTTTCTCTCTCTTGTGAAACAGGTCAAAGATTTGCCCTAAGGGAAGGAGGTAGAACAGTTGGAGCTGGTGTTGTATCAAAAGTGATGACTTGAGAGGTTCTCTAAAAGGCACATCCTTAGGTTTTCTCTAGGAACCCATCAATGATGTGATTTTTATTTTTGTTTCGTTGCTTTGAGATTTCGAGTAGATCAAATAACAGAGTGAGAAACATAATTTAAGTGTCCAACGAGAAAGATTAGGGCATAGGCACTTTTTGTTTGCTGCTTTCTACTTTGTGAAACTTGAAAAAAGCCACTTCCAATTCTCTGGTTTGTTCAGTAATGTTTTTGTTTTCTTGCAATCAAAATATTCTCGTTTCACTCTACCAGCTTATATAATCTCATTGATTTACTCATCGTTGGCGTAGAGGATAAGCTTAGATCTGATATTAGCAAGACTTTAGTTGTTTCTTGTTTTTGCTAATTACCGTGTGTGTTCCTTATGCAAGAGGAAGAAGTAGGATGTTTAGTTTAGTTTCAGAGTGTTTTTGGTTGGTTTTTAAATACGAGGAAGGAAAAGGTTACGTGTATTGTAAGTTACCATATTCCATTATAATATCAGTAAGTAAAGAACATAATGCAATTGCTGATCAAATAAAACAAAGGCAAATCACAATTCATTTAGCTAGACTAAACCAGACAGAAACAAACTATACAATTCATAGGTTCTTGTGATCACGTTTTGGATTTATTTTGGGCTTAGCTCACATGTTGATGTTCAATATTACTACTTACTAGGGTTGTTTGGGCCAAAACCTATTTTTGAAACTGAGATAGAAAGATCATCATATAAGTAGATGATGTATCAGTCTTGAAAGCAGAGTAAAAAAAACCCTAATCCCAAAAATCGTAAATGAAACAGAGAGAAGAGGATGATGGATTCCTTCACAGATGATCTATGGGCGATTGTACTAGCGAGGTTACCGCTAAAGACCATGACAGCATCGAAACTGGTTTGCAAGCAGTGGAAATCGATCGTAGAGTCTCCTTATCTCCATGACCTTTTCCTATCCCTGCACCAAAACTCGCACTCTTGTTCATGGTCGCTCATGCATTACGGGATAGAAACCATGGCTCACTATAGATGCAACACTTGGGGACTTGAACGATCTCTCGACTCTTTCATCTCTTCTTTCGTAGAAGAAAGGTTCAAGAGCAAACGCCAACGAGCCGAAGTCGTGGCTTACTCCGATGTTGGTTTGGTTTTGATCCATGTAAAGCCACACGAGAAGAAGGAGAAGGGATCCTTTTACGTGGCTAATCCGGTTTCACAGGAATGCATTGAAATCTTTCTTGACACTCTTCCTCTAGGGTTTAAACATCCCCGTAATATGGGATTTGTCGCACGAACTGAGAAGGGAGTCGTTTTGGGTTACAAAGTTGTTCTGATGGATGAGAGGCAAAGAGAGATCAGTACCACCAGCTTAACGTTCCTGATATATTCATCCGAGACAGGCACGTGGAGTCTCAACACTTTCCATCTCCATTACTCTGGTCTTTGTTTCCCCGAAATCATTAGCTTGAACGGAAGTCTTCACTGGAACGCCATGACCAGTGGCCTGTCTGAAGAATTTGTACTTGTATCCATCGATTTCTACGCTACTGGCACGGGTTCTGATAGATGCCGTGTTACGCCTTTCCCTGACTCAGACACAACTACCAGCTTCGGACAAGGTTGCTCAATAAGTCAAGGGTTTCTCATGTATATGAACGGAGTTACAAGCCTAGAGGATAAGTTACGTGTATGGAGGCTACAGAGCGACGGATGGCAACTAGTATCTGAGATCTCACCGGCTTTTCTTTCGACTGATGTGAACTGTGTTCCCTTGGTAGTAGACCCTTTCGACGCGAAAACAGCTTACTTCTGGAGCAAGGCACAAGAAGCTTTGCTATCTATCAACTTACACAACGGCAAGTTCGTGCTCCACAATCATCAGTTGGAAGATATCAAACACGAAGGTCTCTCTGTGATTTCCGTTAAAGACCCGAGAGCTATGATGGTTTCCGTTGAATATATGAATTGCTTGTTCCATTCAAAATTTTCCTCCTACATTCTCCCACATTGGCTGCATCGGATCCCCAACACAGTGACAAGAGTTTAGACATGATATTAATTTGCAAGACTTCATCTTTTTTTGTTTCTTTTGTTTTGTCTGATTATTGCTAGTTTGATTGCTTTATATCATCATCATCCTCACATTTGCCGTCTCAGTACTGAACAAGATTTTGTCATTTACAAATCAAAGATTTTGAACCTTTCACCGCGACTTCTCTTTAACATGCAAACCTAAGCGCAAACACCGCCATTACCGTGGCAGCTCTGAAGTAAACCTCCTTTATGCTTCTCTCCACACTGTTTATGATTTCTTCACTCTTCAAACTTGAACAAGGCTTGTTTGCTTTCCTATTGGCATGAACAATCACCACCCTGAGCCTATTCACAGCCCAAGACAGTACTACCAAGCTGAAACCAAGTCCAGTGTCGAAGAACTTGTTTGCGCAGAAGGGTACACTCCTTGAAGCGAGGCTACACACCACAGAGAAGAGCACGGCGATTCCAGTTCCAGCGGCGGTGATAGAAAACTGTGTAAGAAGCTCTGAGATCTCTCCGCATGATCTCTGTAAAGAGAGTATCGTTGTGTGATTGTGCTGATGATCATTGCCTACCATTAAAGACAGAAGGCTCTCGTAAGCGTGGAGATGGTTTCTTCTGTAGAGGTCCTTCTCTTTGGCCTTCCGCTTCGTGTTTTGTTTCCTTGGTGACGGCTTGAGCCTGGGTTTCTCAGGACTTTGTTTGAATCAAAAACAGAATTCGAATATGAGAACACTAACAACGCCAAAAAGTAAATACAGTAATCTAAGCCAAAAGAAGTAAAAGGAGAGATTAGATTACCTCTTCAAAGGTGCTAACACTGTAACTGCTTTCAGCTTAGCCGGTGTTACCACTTCACTTTCAAACCTGCATAAATGAAATTGCAAAGGCCCTAAGAACCGAGTAACGAAACGCACACAAAGGAAAGTGAAAGGCTCGGTTACGAGTCTTACCACTGAAACTGCGGGACAAGCGGTGAGAGCTGTCTCCATTTAGTTGAATTCCTAGACAAATTGAACTCAGAAAGTATGTCATTCAGCTCATGACTGCTACTTGAGGAGAAGAGAACGTGGCCATTCGATTGCACAGAGAACTCTGGATTATCCACCATATCCCTAACGAGATCCAAAACGGGTTTCCCTAATTCTTGATTCAAGTACAGAACAGAGGAAGCACCATATGGTAGTAGCTGAGAACTCGATTTCATAGCCTCTAGCTCCATCAATTCAGATAGCAGAGACATATCGAATCCTCTTTCCTTGAACTCCTCTGACCTAGACAGAAGAAACTCCATCACTTTCTCTTGTCTCGCATGCTTCTCAGCGATTCCAAAGCTCAAAACCAGAGATTCTGGTGCCTTCTCTGTATCAACCATAAAAGCAAGTTCATGTAAGATTGGGTAAACTGATACACAGAAAGAAAAAAAAACCATTAAGAAATTTGATGATTCATAAGCTTTTTGAGCTTACCATGAACATCCATGAGCAGAGGTTTCATCATGGCTGAGTCAAGCTCCACGAATTGGTTAGATTTGCTAAATGAAGAAACCGGTTTCCATGGATCCAAGTGTTGTGGGTTCAGATTGAAGGAGCTCGCAGGTATGATCTCTTGTTTTGTTCCCGGATTCACCAGATAAGACCGGCTACTCTGTATCATTCATTGACAATAACACAATCAAAACAGGAGCCATTGGAATCCAACAAGATGCTAACTTTACATGAACCCAGATAAATTCAAGCATCGAAGCTGTCAAATCCAACAAGATATAGACGAAAGACACCAACTTTACACGAACCCAGATAAACTGAAGCAATCAATCCAGTAAGAGATTCAAAACGCTAGAAGGACCTAAATATAATGAGACTGATGATTTAGATTTCAATGATAAGAAGAAGTAAATTAGTCACCTTGATGATTTCGCTGTTAGAGAGCTCTTGAGGAAGACCAAGTCCAGGGATTGTATAACCATGAGAGGTGGTGAAGCAAAGCTTGATCATTTTCGTTGAAGAGAAACCAAATTTCAACCCCTTGGAAGAAGAAAACTCGATTCCTCTCTTCTCTTCTTTATCAAAAATCCATGGGGACAGATATAAGCAAAACTTTATCGCTTACGACTCACCTACGCCGCAGAAACGAGATTTAAGAATCTTCTCGATTTTGGCTGTGAGAGAAGAAGACAGTTGAATTTTGAGATTTTTTTGAGGCCTAGATTTGTTCCAGTAACAACAAAATTATGCCCAAGTAATTATGTCGACCATAATATCATCAAAAATACAGCCGACTAATTAACATCATTGTTTCTAAAATAAAAAATGCATCACCTTTTTTTAGTTGACGAAAGAAAAATGATGACTTTGTAAAGTTTTTTTTATAAAATACGCTATGTTTTAATTTATAAAAATGATGACTTTGTAAAGTTTTATTTATAAAAATGCATCACCTTTTTTTTAGCATCCTTTTAAGTTTTGACTTCCTAATTATAGTTTTGTTTTCTCAGCGGGTAATGTAAATGTAGGCAAAGTTAGAATCTTTGAGAAAGCTGACGAAATACACACAACAAGCAAAAGTCTTTTGAGAGTTTGATCAATGTATGGAACAACAATTACATTACATATCAAAATGACCAAGCTTTTTTTTCCCCCCAAACATACTACAACAACGAAGCTTCTATCTTTTCTAACATCATCAAACAAAAGTTGTATGAACAGCAAACAAGAGACAAAACAGAGCGCTACATTAGCCTGGGAGAGCCACTGTGCTTGTTGGCTACAGAAGTGTCTGTAGCAGAGCTGCTAGCTTCTGAGTTGTATCGGGTGGTACCTTGAGAAGTCCTCTTGGTCGGTACAAGAGGATTGCTTTCTTCCTCATCGACTACTCGTGGTCGGTCAAAGTCTTTGCCTTTGAAAACCGGATGCACGTAAGCATCTCTCAGATACTCCTTGAGGTTTAGATTCGGTTCAGTCGCTTTTTCTAGTGTGTCCTTCACCATTGCTTCCTGTTAATGCATCAATCCCCAAAAAATCAGTTGAGACAGTGATATGTTTTGACAGATATTGACGCAAGAGCTTTGACTCATCATTACCTGTAAGGGGAATCTCGAGAAGGCTGATTCAAATCGTCCTGCGCAGTATCTATCAAACCAGATGGTCAAAATAGGCTGAGGGAGAAGCAGAACTGTTGCTTTCGCAAGTTTCTTCGTGCTGAGCAAACCCATCATCAGAAGCTGTGATATTATTAGGCATATGATCAATCTCCTATGCACGTCTGGCCAGTATCTAGCACCACTCTCATATTTCTGATCGTAGACATTTATAACCTTGCAATATCAGAGAACACACAGGATATGACGAAACTGGATATACTCGCATGCAAAAACTCAAGAAGAACACGAATGAGAAGGTACCTGGTGCCGGAAAACAACATAGGAGAAGGCAAAGAAGACGATGATGAAGGGAAGAAGAATGGGGGTAACAGCAGCGTATACAAGGCCCAGCAAGAAATAGAACTGGATCCGAGGCTCAGATGTTGCAAAGTCCAGATGACCTGGATCCATTGCTTGCTGTCTGTCTTGCTCAGTCTTGACCAAGAAAGCGTTCTTCAGATGAAAAACGACCAACGGAACCAGTCTGAGTATCTCGGCTGCAATGCCAGCCCAACCATCGACCATGATATAAGTGATGAAAAATGTGGCTTTCATTGGGATTGAAACACCAACTGTTTTTGGGATCCTAAAAGTAAAGAGAGTAAAGAAGTTGAGATCAAATCTTTTATGCGTTGGAAGTTTGACACAATGAGCAACATCTCTCCGAGTACTACTTACTCAGTTGGTGGTTGCTCGAGGAAAGATTTAAGCTGCTGAAACGCTGTCCCTGTGATGATGCTTCCAAGAAAGACATTGACGATAATGAACCAGAAATACTTCTCCGCTGATCTTCTGTCTAAATAAGAAAGTGATGTATATCCTTCAATTTGGGACATAGTCATGAGAATCGTTGGAAGTACGATGAGAAAGATCTTCAAGGCTATTCCTGGAAGAAATCCTTGGATTACAGACTTCACAGTCTTCCTGCATATGAACAAGAAGTGAATGTGAGTAGAACAAATTTCTGTTTGCTATCGAGAAATGAGGACTTACATGTCTATTAGGGGTTTCAAGAAAGGTAGAACTTTTTGGATCCCTTCGAGGTTGGCGAGAGACTGAACGAATGCTATAGGAATCATGAAGCAGAAAATAAGAAAGAAGAGTGCTATTGTTGTGAGCAGCCTTCTTATTGAGAGCTCAACATATGGAACAGCGAGATTGTCCCAGAAAACATCGCGTGGTTCAGGAGCCCATTCAGTCAACCATATAGTGGGGTTATGGCATTGCTGCGTCTGAGCACAAACAGCTGTTCCCCACCGTGATTTGAAGGAGACAAATGCTGCCGGAACTATAGACTTTGGGTCGTTCATGATCTTCTCTCTTTCTACAGCTTCCTATGTATGTTAAAACATTTAGAAATGCACCTGATAAGCTTATGATAAACACGAAAATGGTTTGTTTTATAAATGCGGGAGAGTACATACATTCTCGGCTAGATTCTCGATCTTGGAAGTGTAGAAGTCAATTGCATCGACTGTAGTTCCCCAAAAGCCTCCATAACCTGTCTATATAATAAATTAAATAACCATCGAAGAGATTTGAAGTAGGCTTTGCAACAGAGAGTACCTTTGTCGTTGGCCTATTTGATGGATTCCTCTCGTATTTATTCTCGTAGTAAGTCAGCCAATTTTGCACAGCTTTTCTCTGTGCGACTAGTTTTGCAAGCTCATTTGCGTTGTACACTACCTGAGAAACATCAAATCAGAAATTACATGACAAAGTTCAAGTGGAGAAGCCAAATAGTTCCCTTGACCTCTGAGTACTGTTCATAAATTTGCAGCAAGCTAAAGAAAGAGATACCTGATGACAAAGATAATGATCTGGATGGTTTACACAAAAGAAGTGCTCAACATGCTCGTTAACTGATTCATCAGGATCTGGAGGAACATTTCTTACAAGTACCTGCAAAAGCATATTGCCAATACGTCAAACAACAAATTAAGAGTAGCAAAAAGACTTGGATAATTGAAAGTTTGCAACCCATTCCATGTGATATATCCATCTGGTATGAGAGGTTTGCAAAATGCTGCTCTCAGCTTATATGATCACTAAGAACCATTTTACTTAAATCATACACAGACAGAACTATCATTACCAAATAATTCCCGTTTCCAAGAAAAAATAGACGAAAGTTTCCACAACGCAGTACAGAAAACTCAAAAAGATAAGAGTAACACACCGTGAGTTGATCAGGACGGCGAGTTTCAGATGCAAGATGTCTCAATCTCATAGTAGCCACAGTCTTGTATTCCATATATAACGTGTAACAAGTCCAGATTGAGAAAACGTATGTCATAGTTAAATGTGCCCAAAACCTGGAACCAAGAAACTTGCATCCGTCTTAGTTGATAAAATAGAAAGCTGCACATACCATCACACAGTTTGTAAACAAAAGAAAGCACTATTGCTTATACTCATGTTAACGAAGCTGTTGCAGATAACATAACATTCCACCAGATACAAATTTGGCAAGGTAGTAACATATATGCACTGAACTCAAAGAAAGCACAGTTGAATTACGATGTTTCTAGATACCTCGGCGATCCTGGTGGAACATTCGATATCGAGAGCTTATCGACGTTACTGAATGTCAAGTCGTCGATCTTATCTAGCGTTTCTCCTGTCCAATTAACAGGAACCAAGACTCCAAAAGCAAGTAGTGTTATCGGGACGAACATTTTCAATCTGCATTAGCCGGTCCATGTCAAGACAATGCAGCTAAGAAAGCAAGAATGTGCCTCACTACAAAAGTGTTGGTAATCAAAAGAAGTTACCCGAGAAGGTAAATGCGGATATATACAGCAGAGTCAAGCCCTGCGTGTTCGATGAGCTCAGGTTCAGGCATTTTGAGCGCTGCAGGCATCCAGTTGAGGAACTTGACATAAGTGGTCCAGTCCAAGTTAACGAATCTGTTCATGATTCCTCTGGAACGCGTAGGGCTTCCTCGTATCCCTTTGAGATACCATTTCGGGAAGTAGACTCTGTCGTTAACTGGCTGAAGCCTCAGCATAGCAAAGGCAAAGAGGAAAGCAAACGCAGACAAGAGGTTTATAGCTGCAGAAAGACCAATGTCTTGTACAGAAGCCATCTCTTACTTTTACGCAATTTTTTCACCAGATGTTTCCAAATGCTGTTGGAGAGATCACAGCAAAGAGAAAAAAGGTAAGTCTCTTCAAGCGTGATTTATTTCACAGAAGTACTACAAGTTTCTGTAAATTTTGTAGCATTCACTCATCTGCATTACATTCAATTGTTTGAATTACCTAAGAAAGGGAAGGTGGCGATTAGGTTGGTTCTTTTTGAGACAAAATCGAATACGAGAAAGGAAAATTGGCGTTTGGGAGGAAAGACTGTCAGAAAATGGATTACCTGGAAAATAGGAGAGACTGGGAGAGAGAATTGCGCCATAAAAATATTAGGTTTGAAACTTTCTGTGAACCTCATCTCTGAATCAACCAACGGTCTTGAGGAAGAAGAAGATGATGTGGCGGGGAGCAAGACCTTACAACAATCCATTCTCATTCTTCTCCTTCTCCAACCATATCTCTCACTCGATCTTTCTCCTCCGATTCTCCGAATTTTATTCTTCTCCCTCGAATTTTAGAATTCATTTTTTCTGTTTTCTTTTACGAGCTCTATTATTTGTTCTTTACCGGCGTGACATAGCGCCTTACTCGTGAATGAAAAATGCGATGATATTACTCCAACTTTTGTCCAAAATTTCAAGAATATCAGTAGATCTATTCTCAGCTAGCAAAACTTTTGGAATTGTTTGTCACTTCCATCATGAGTCAAATAAACTGAATACAAAAAGAGTAGACTGTACAGCGAGGGAAAGAAGAGAACAAAAGCTCAAAAGATGTTTTAGTTCGCAGATTCGCTCAAAGTTCCAAAATTTGATCCACAAAGTTGTAGAGTAGTAGAATAAACGCAGAACCCAAAAGCCCGTTCAGATCTCTTTTATTCAAACACCAGTTTTATTATCTATAAAGATCTTTCTTATACAGAAGACACTTACTTAGAGTTCTGTCTCTTTGTCAAAGAAGTCCCACCCATCTTCCAGGAGCTCCTTACGATCGTCTTTTCCCTCGCTAACCGAAGCTTTGGAGCTCTTGTCTTTTCCCTCCTCGTTGAACAAAGCTTTTGGGCTCTCGTTGTTGCCTGAGGCTTCAGGTGTTTCATAAGATAGCTCAAGAGGCTTATCAAGCAAGAAGCTCTTCATGGACGACCCAGAAGAAGCCAGTTTACAACTAGTCTGGCTTGAGGTGATTGATTGGCTCAACGGCACTCGGTTGTCGAATTTCTCTTTCAAGAGTCGGATGTCTTGACATATCACTGAGATTTCTCCTCTGTTCAAGAGAGCAAAGACAAGTTAACAATCACTTAGCAGACAAGATTCACCATAAGACTCTGAGCATTTACTCTAACAGCATAAGATTCCAGATTATATGACTCATCTCTTGACTGTCAAGAGAAGAAATGGACAGATATGATTTATGGGTCTGAACATTAATCTATATATAGCAGCTTTCCATATTCTGATAATGAATGTAAATTCTTAGTGATGAGAAAAAGAGGACTTACTGTAAGGAATCAACAATCCGACCACTATCCACAAGGAACTCTCGCAGCTGCAGACACAGAACAAGATATGTTAAGAAAGTTGTTGTGACTTACAGAGTACTTCGTTAGTTGCAATCCAAAGGCAGTAATGTTACCTTGGAATTTTCCTCTGCCTCTTTCTCCAGAAGCTTTGATTCTTGGACAACTTTTTCCATGATCGCTTCTTGTTCAGCGAGTGCCTTCTTTGCACAACCATATTTTTCTTGCTTTTCTTGCTCAGCGGCATTTTTAATCTCCAGCGCTGCCGCTAGTCTCATTTCGAGAGTTCCCCGCATCTAAATCACACAGCGTGAAACAGCAGTAAGTCAATAGTGTATTGTTAAGCAAAACGGAACAAAACAGCGTGTGACCTGTACAGACCTCATCAAGAACAGAAAGAGACTTGTCTCGCTCTTCTGATAGGCTGACCAAGCGATTTTCAAGCTCATGTACTTCAGTGGTCAAGATAGACCTCTCCCCGTAAACTTCTCCAGCATCCTGTAACATTATATATGGATTAGTTCCCCATTAAAGATCTAAGCACATTAGCGATCACGTATTAGCACATTATCAGTCAAATTAATTCACCATGTCATTTCCCTCTTTCGCATGTTTGAGAATCTTCTTCAGATCCTCAACCTTGTTAAGGGCCTCGAAGCCTCCTCTAATAGCATCTTCCTTCGCCTTCTCTGCATCCTTCTCTTGAAGTTCAACCTCTCTCATCAGATTCATAATCGATTCCATCACAGTGAACAAGGTTCTCTACATCATTGCAAAACAAAAATAAATGATACTGAAATATCGTGAAGGAACACTACAACACATTAACCAAAACTAATACTAGTTAGCACACCTTGTTACTTTTGGCATCTTCAATGATCTGTTCAAGGTGATCAATGTTGCATCCCTGGGATGATCTGCTAACAACAGAGCTAAACGCACCACTCAGCTCTGGATCATCGTTTTCAACAGCCAAGGAACCCTTTGATGCCTCGTCCACGAGATTTGAGCCACTCAACTCTGCATCACTGTTTTCACCAGCCAATGAACCACCTGACGCCTCTTTCACATCATCTAAACTCCCAAATCCAAACTGAAAATGAGAAGGTTTCTGTGTAGTTGTTGAATTGTCTTGTGCAGGATAAACCAGCTTATGCACAACATCTCCTGAAACTGCACTTGTGCTTGACTCTGCTTGGTCACCTGTACTGTGAAAATCAACACCTTGCCACCCATCGCTAGTCAATATGGTTCCCGCCTGAGCGGAGGCAGGGGGATTTGAGGAAACCACTCTAGACTCATCCGATCCGCTCAACCCGATCATTGCCTTGCTCTGTATATCAAGATCACCATTTGTCGACTCGTTCCCATTAGAAAGCAACTCAGAGATTGGCTGCGCCCTTGTTTCATGGTCACTATCGAGAGGCAGAGGGATAGTTCCTGAAGAAGAAGCACCCTCTGAACCAGTCAATGCACCTTTGTTGCCAAGTTGTGTAGAATTATCAGCCAAATTTGGGTAAAACTTGGGAACAATCTCTGAGATAACCACAGCTGCAGCTTCATCAGCGTCCTTTGGGTGCTCAATAGCAACAGCTTTTAAAAGCCTTGCATCAATCTGTACAGAATTGTATTGTATAATGTTAGTCATAATCGGACTAATTCCAAAACATCAACCCAAAGATGATATTACTTCATTAATCATCGCCTAGTATAAATACTAAGCAAATACCCATGTTTTCGGAAAACATCACAACCACAACAAACATGAACCACAAGTGAAATTGAGTGAAGGGAGATAAAGATAAGAGCTTACCTGTGGGAATAATTCCGTGAGAGATTGATAAACGATTTTGTAACCCATCAGCGAGTTATGAAGCAAAACTGCAAGAAAGCAAAAAAAAAAAAAAACAATTATTTCTTAGGGTTGATTCAATAACTTTATCCAGTAAAATCACAAGACCGGTGAAAAACCCTAAAAAACTGCTTGAAAACCCCATTTATATAGTAGAATCAGAAAATACAGCTGCATCAAGCAGCTAAATATGCTCAAGGCATAACCTTTTTTTGCGTTTAGAATTTTACAACGAACACTAAAACCCTAATTTAAATCCAAACAGGGGAGAAAGAGAGATACGAGTGCAATCAACAGCAAGCAACCTAAATTCGAATCAGTATATAATCCGATCTTCCTGGATATTAGCGAAGAAAACTATGACCTGGTGATCAGAATAGATGAAAATCTCCTCGAAAGAATCTAAGATAATTCGAGAAGCAAAGAGCGCATCAAAAGATAGCAACATATACAGAGAAAGGAAAACACAGGGTTTTTGAACATGAGGAGGAGGAGGATCAATTCTGCTCGAGTTTCTGGGTGGATTCTCAGAAATTCAAAAGAAGCAAAAGAACAAGTAGATCACACGAACCTTCCCAGATTTTTCGATGAGAGTGATTTTTGATCTTGACAGAGCAAAGGGGAGCGGAGAAGGCGCAATTCGGGTTCGAGAATTGTGAGAGAGTAAATTTCAATTGTTTCTCGGAGAAGGAAATTAAAAGAAGAGGACCAGTTCTAGGAAACTTACGCGGCTAAGAAAAGCCAAACAAAGGCTAGTTTCGTTATTTTCATCAAATCATTAAGGGGTATTTTCGTCAAGAAAATGTAATTTAACCGACTTGGATCATTGGTGGAGGCCCATTTTGAGGCTCATTTTGTATTTGTAAACCCATATAAAAGAACTCTAATAATTTAATAACTCTAATAATTTAAGCCCATACGAAAACAAAAAAAACCTATTTGAATTCTACATTTAATACAGAACAGAACATCTCAATTGTTATTTCTCCGTAGGATTGAAACTGTATTTGCAAATTCGTGAAGTATCCGTGTTACTTTTGAGATTTGAAAATTTTCAATATCTTATGTTTGTCAACCAAACCATTATTGACCGCAAAAGTTTGATTTTTTTTTGTTTTTCCTCTTAAAGAATCAATATTTTAAATTTGTTCAGTTTTGCTCAAAAGATTACGATCATGGGGAAGAAGAGAACTGTCAAGTACTTCCTGGTAATCTCTCTTTTTTGCTCTTTTCTGTATTCTTGATTTCCAGATCATTTACTTATAAGATCCATGGATTTTGTGTTCGAAAGGTCGATGCTTTCACTGATTCGGCTTTCAAAGGGAATCCAGCGGCTGTTTGTTTCCTCAACGACGACGACAGCGACAGAGACGACGCCTGGCTTCAGTCTCTCGCCGCCGAATTCAACATCTCCCAAACTTGTTTCCTTACTCCGATCACTGGCTTCGAAGCTCGCTTCCATCTCCGGTGGTTTACCCCTTTAGCCGAGGTTCGGCGACTTTTTTTGACTTCGTTTCTTCTGAAAGCTTTTGACTTGCGACTGTTCAACGTTTGGGAGAAATTGATCTCGAATTCACGAGCTCTCATGTCTTGTTCAGTTCGCATATTCTTGATTTGGAGAAAATTGAGTGAGACCCTTTTGATTTGGGGTTTATCCCATATCGATTCGTCACTGTGATGCTTTATTAGAGCTAATTTTGAAGCTCGTCCATTGATTTGCACAGGTGGATCTCTGTGGCCATGCAACTTTGGCATCTGCTCATTGTCTCTTCTCCAATGGTTTGGTTGATTCAGAGGATGTCGAGTTTGTCACAAGGTCAGGGATTCTTACAGCCAAGCGAGTCCCAGATACTTCAGAGCTCAGTGATGGTGAAGTGAAAGGAGGAACTTTCTTGATCGAGTTGAATTTCCCTGTGGTTACAACTTGTGATATCAATCTCGATGATGTCTCCTCCTCCATGATCACAAAGGCCTTGAACGGAGCTACCATTGTTGATATAAAAGTTACTACGACAAACAACATCCTCGTAATGTTTCAGAAACTGTCCACATTTACAAAATTTTGGTTTCCTAATCAAAATATTGTTCTTGTTTTGGATCTCAAGATATTATAAGTATATTCATGTGTGCTCATATTGAGAACAGATTCACCTGGTATTATGGGCATTGCATCATTTTTGTTTTGTTTTAGGGCTTTTGATTGACTGTCTTATGCACTTGTGTTGCAGGCTGTGCTTCCATCTATGGAATCTGTCAATGAGTTGCAACCAAGAATGGATGATATATTGAAATGTCCTTGCGATGGCATCACTGTGACAGCTGCTGGTTCTGCAGGATCGGCCTATGATTTCTACAGTCGGTTCTTCGCTCCTAAATTCGGCATTGATGAGGTAAAAAGAGTAGCTGTATCTTACTATATGATCTAACTATCATTATAGTCTTGGCTCTTAGGAGTGAACGAAAACACCAAACTGTGTCGCTTTTTCTGTCAGGACCCTGTATGTGGAAGTGCACATTGTGCATTGGCACATTACTGGAGCCTCAAGATGAACAAGTGTGATTTCTTAGCCTACCAAGTAATCTCTCTAACCTCTTTTAATTTTTGAAGTAGTGTTTATAAGTGCTTCATAGAGAATGGTTTTGAGTTTTTGGAAATCTGGTTAGGCTTCGCCTAGGAGTGGAACAATTGGGATTCATCTAGACAAGGAGAAGCAGAGGGTTCTCCTTAGAGGCAAGGCCGTGACTGTAATGGAAGGCCATGTCTTGGTCTGATTTGACATTTGAGATGATTTATTGTTAATTTCTGCTACAAAACAATGCTTCTGTAATTAACGAATAAAGACGAAGGTAGTAGTATCTTGCATAGTGTCAGCTGAGTGACCCACTTCACAGAAGGTCGGTAATCATCACTGATAGGATATGTTTATCTTCTTCTGACCATACGTGTTCAGGTTGCATGGATTTGTTTTTGTATTTTTATGTGGGGCTAGTGTTGTTATCACCATTATTATATTTTGGGCTTTTCTTTCTTATGGTACCATAATAGATCTTGTTTGATTTGACAGAGCAGAACACGTTTTTAAATTCTCGAACTATTCAATGAGATTAAAAGCCGTTGATTTTCGTTTCTCGAGCACCTTAATCTTGCCTTTGTTGCCTGATGATTATTCATTTAGATCTTTGTATATGGAAGTGGACATTGTGTGTTAGCATGTTTCTGGAGTCTCAGCGTGAACAAGTGTGACTTTTTCGCTTAAGCTGTGGTCTTTCTCTCTCCTTCCTCTCTCTGTAGATTACTAATATTTCTAATCGAAAGAGGAAAACACATGTTAACCAGCAACAGAGCATCTGAACTTATCTGATATGCAACAATCCTAATAAGTTGCATTTTTTTGAGTTTCGACAAAATCCTACTTTGCCCTTGATTTGGTTTACCGATGTTAAGTTCCATTTGTTGTTCTGTGAATAATTTCAAATGTGGGACAAGCAGGGCATTATAAGTTTTTTTGAAGCTTGTCCACATGTATTTGTAGTTGTGGTTGTGCTTAAACCACACCAGTCTTGTGAATCTGTCAGATGTATATTAAGATGCATATTATGGCTAAAATGGGAAGAAAAGGTTTTGTTTTTTCTAGAACTGTGTTTTGCTGATTATAAGTCAAAAGTTTGAGAGATGCAGACTTCAAAGGAAGAAAAGGAGGATGACCATGACCATGGAGAAGCCTCTGAAGGTCTTCGTGGTAACTGTATTTTCTTCTTCAATCCAGTATCATATCACATTGTTGTTCGTTTATGTTCCTGATAATGTACTGATGTAACTTCTTTTCTCTGAGTAGTTCCTTTAGAAATGTGATAAACTCTCAAGATTGATGAGTGTTGTTGATAACCAGGTTGATGCATTCTCTGAGTCAGCCTTCAAAGGAAACCCAGCAGTAGTGTGCTTGCTTGATGGAAAGAATGAGAAAGACGACTCTTGGCTTCAGTCTCACGCCGCTGAATTCAATTCCCAGTTTTCAGGACTTATGCAAATTTCAGATGGCAAGAGCTCCATTTTTATCTCGCAGGTGGATCTTTGTGCTCATGTAACCTTAGCATCTGCTCACACACTCTTCGAAAACGGTTTGTTTGGTTCGGACACAATCAAGTTTGCCACCCGCTCCGGGACTCTAACCGCTAAAAGGGTTCCAGAGACTCTCACAAGTTCTTTGACTATGAAGAGAAAGGATCTGATAGGTACGAAGCAGAGCATCCGCCGGTTATCTATCACTACCGAAGGAAGATTATACCGAAGCAAGCATGAACCGGATTGCAACTCTCCTCAAGTTTGGCGTGGTCCCGAAGGAGAGCTTAATCGTACTAGAGTAAGAATGAACTGTAGTAAGGTCCCTGTCGCTATCTCATCACATGGATCGTAAGGGTTAGTGTGAAGGGTTAGTAGTAGTTGTCGTTTAGTATATTAAGAGTGTGAGGGTTGTACGAAAAAGGCATCAAGACATTTGTGAGTGTTCTTGTGTGAGGAGGGAGAGAACTTCCATAAAATTCTCTCATTTGTACTCGTTACTTTAAGAAATACAAGTGTTTGCCTTTCAAATCTCTTCTTTTCTATAAGTTTTGTTTACAACACGTAACAGGATCTTTCTTTATCGAACTGGATTTCCCTGTGATTCCAACACGTGAGTACAAAACCTCAAGTGACATCTCCATGTTTTCCAAAAGCCTTAAATGGAGCTGCCATTGTTGATGTCCGAGGAACCACAACTGATAAAATCATCTCCAAGGCCTTCGCGCTGCCAAAGCTTCTTCAACTGATAAAATTATCGTATGCATTTCAAGAATACTCCTAACTATCTATGCGTTCTGTTTTCATGTGTGCTCTCATATCCAAAAGAATAAATCTTTCTTATCCATCTGATTTCAGATTGTGCTTCCAACTTGGGATTCTGTCACTGAACTGCATCCAAGAATGGATGATCTCTGGAAATGTCCCAGGAAGTTGATAATTCTTGCAGCTGCTGCTCCTAAAGGATCTGCATATGATTTCTGTAGTCGGATCTTTGCCCCCAAGCATTTTTCATTTTAATGGCGAGAAGCCATGATCAAACTTCTGTAGTCTTTGCTCGTAGGCGTAATTTACATTTGACCTCTTCTGCTTGGTTCTATGTTCCTTCAGGACTCTGTCTGTGGAAGTGCACATTATTGGAACCTCAAGATGAACAAGTGCGACTTTGTTGCTTACGCGGTGACTACTCTCTCCTTCTATCTAGTGCCATTTTAAATCTAAGGAGCAAAGCAAATGTAAAATCTTGCCGTACAGATTCTGATTGAGGTTTATTTATTGAAATTGGTTATTATAGGCTTCGCGTAGGAGTGGAACAGTTAAAATTCATTATGATAAGGAGAAGCAGAGAGTTTTTCTCACTGGCAAAGCTGTGACTGTTATGAAAGGCTCTGTCTTAGTTTAAACTTGACAACAAAAGTCAAGATTTCGACATCTAGGACCAAATGATGAAATCAGATTTATGACCATGTTCTTTACTCGTTATTTTATAAACAAAGAAATTCAGATGTTGGATAGATGGAACTTATATGTAATTGTCATTAGTCAACTATCATAATAAATTCTTACTTTGCCTTTGAGTTGGTTTCCCCGTGTTTATGATCCATTTAGACAAGGAGAAGCAGAGACAAGGAGAAGCAGAGAGCTTCTCCTGAGAGGCAAAGCCGTGACTGTAATTATAAGCCATGTCTTGGTTTCAACTGTCTCCTAACCATATGTGTTCTTGATTGCATATGTTCTCTATCATAAAGGGAATGATTATTGCAAAGTGGTGTTTCTGCATAAGTCTAGGAATAACCGTGTTGCAGAAAAATAAATTTTTATAAAAGATGTATATCATACAATCTATGCCTAAGTGTTGCAGACCATTATGTGTTTCAAACAGCGTCTTACAGTAACTAACGACTGGTAAGCTATACATCAATCTGTTTTCATTTTTAACTTAAGACTAAGAACATCATCTTAGAATTAGAGCCTTATGTCTTGTTGTAGGCAAATGCTAAAGACTTAAAGCTATAGTGGAATAAACCATCAACCTGCCATAATTTAGTGTTTCTCTAACTGTATTCACGTGACAATATCTGCGTTTTATTGGAATACTTTGTAGCTGGTTTTGATTTGTTTCTCCTCTCTGTCACGTTATACAGGTGTATTGCTTGTGAGTTGTGATCAATGTAGAAACCATCAGAAATTCTCTTCATCTTTGAAAGGAGGAGGAGGATGACCATGACCATGAAGAAGCCTATGAAGTACGTCGTGGTAAGTGTATCTTCTTCTGCTTCTGCTTTTGGTTTGAGTCTCTTTCAAGTTCTTCTTTTTTCTTTTTTCTTTTGGTTTGGTTTTAGTCTTTCTCAAGATCATTGAATGTTGCTATAAAACAGGCTGATGCATTCACTGATTCAGCCTTCAAGGGGAACCAAGCAGCAGTGTGCTTTCTTGATGTAGAGAACGAGAGAGATGACTCTTGGCTTCAGTCTCTCGCTTCTGAATTCAACCTTCCCATGACTTGTTTTCTTATTCCGGTCACCGGAACCAATCCTCTGGATCCCCCACGCTTCATACTCCGTTGGTTCACCCGCTTCGTCGAGGTCTTGCGTCACTCTTTGATGATGACTTTATCATTTGCATTCATTTGTATTTACCGGTCACAGTTTCCTTTCCTCTATTTTTTGCTTTTGTTTTTGGCAGATGGATATTTGTGGTCTTGCAACGTTAGCATCTGCTCACACTCTCTTCTCAAACGGTTTGGTCGGTTCCTCTGACACAGTCGAGTTTGCCACCCACTCTGGGATTCTAACTGCTAAAAGGGTTCCAGAAACTCTGGAGTTGTATGACAGTGAAGCTAAAGAAGAAGAGTACTCCTTCTTGGTCGAGCTGAACTTACCCGTGATGTTGGGTTTAGACATGATAAAGTAGCGATCTTTCTCAGCCTAAACGCTCTCTCTCTCACTACTAACACTCGTGTGTAAGAAACTTGAGCAAAAAACAGAGTTGTTGTTTATTTGTTTGAGAAGACTTAAAGTAAAGAGCTTGAAACGTAAAGACACAGAGAATTAACGAGTTCGGACCTTGGGAGGGATCCTACATCTCGCCGGAGAAGGTCTCCGGAAAATCCACTAAGAACTTAGCTCAAACCGAGCTCTTAATCTCTTACACTTCTCTCTCTGCTCTGTTTCTCACACTTATACAAGCTTACCTATTCAGACATGTCTTATGTCTTTTATATTCACAGAACCAACTTGGTAACCAAGATGAAACTAACTCTACTCTTGAGTTAACCTTTGGTTACTTTTGTTCCTTTTATCTTATTGATCCCAAGAGCAAACGGTTAGTTGCAGGCCTGCTTTCTTTGTCTCCTCTTAGTGCATCAATACCGAGTACGGTTCTGTTGCCGTTGCAGAGGAAGAGAAGTCACGTGTTTTGTGAAAACCTTATCTTTAGAACCCTCTGTCTCATCTTGAGTCTTCCATGTTTTCTCCTTCCATCGAAACCTTCTTCAGAAAAACAGAGCTTAGGATTCAAACTAACCTCCACACGTGATTCCAACATGTGACTACAACAACTCCAGTGACGTCTCCATGTTCTCCAAGGCCTTAAGCGAAGCCACCATTGTTGACATCAAAGGAACTACAACAGCTATCACCGTCTCCAAAGCCTTGAATGGAGTTGCCAAAGCAGCTTCAACGGATAAAATCATCGTATGCGCTATCAAGAAACTTGTTCGTTTTGTTTTTCTTTTTGTCTCTGAGTTGATGATTGAAAACATATTGACCTGAAAATGCAGGTTGTGCTTCCATCTTGGGAAGCTGTCACAGAACTAGAGCCAAGAATGGATGAGATCTCGAAATGTCCCGGTAAAATGATAATCGTTACAGCTTCTGCTCCTCAAGGATCTGCCTATGATTTTGTTAGTAGGGTCTTCGGCCCCAAGATAGGAGTCGATGAGGTTAAAAAAAACTGTAGTCTGCATTTTCATTTGAATAAACAAAAATGAAACTCATCTTACCTATGTTACTTGGGACATTTTGTTCATTCAGGTATCTGTTTGTGGAAGTGCACATTGTGCATTAGCACATTACTGGAGTCTCAAGATGAACAAGTGTGACTTTGTCACGGGTAAAGTACTAAATATGAAAGGAAGTTACAGTGTAATTAGCAACATGATCTCTACTGACATTGATTTGGTTTTTGTGAATTGGCTTTTAGGCTTCGTATAGGAGTGGAAAACTCAAACTTCATTTTGATAAGGAGAAGGAGAGAGTCTTGCTCACTGGCAAAGCTGTGACTGTTATGAAAGGCTCTGTCTTGGTTTAACCAAAAGTTTATAATTTTCTCAATAAAAATGATGAAATCAAATTTATGATCATCTTTTTTATAACAAGCTATTATAAGCTATGCATCTATGGCATCACATGGTTTCCAGTTTTCACATAAGAGTAATAAAGAATAGATTCCTCACATGGCTCTTGTCTATAGACTATAGTTATTTAGGTGTAAATCCATCCACATGCCATAATTTTAGTGTCAATAAAATATATTCTTCCTGAGAGTAGTCATTCACGTGATTAGATCTGTGTTTTGCTGAATGTAAATTTGAAGTTTTGAAAAGCTGCAGATTTCAAAAAGGAAAGAGTAGGATTGACCATGAAGAAGCCTGTGAAGTACTTCGTGGTTAAGTGTATCTTCTTCATTCTTTTGGTTGAGAAAAGTTTCAGCTTTTTCAAAATATTAATGCAAGTGTTTGGTGAAACAGGTTGATGCATTCACTGAGACAGCCTTCAAGGGGAACCAAGCAGCAGTGTGCTTTCTTGATGAAAACCATGAGAGAGACGACTCTTGGCTTCAGTCTCTTGCTGCTGAGTTTGACCTTCCGTTGACTTGCTTTCTTGTCCCCATCACCGGCTCTGATCCACCACGCTTCCTTCTCCGGTGGTTCACCTCCGTAGCCGAGGTCTTTCTTGCAAACACACTTCGTTGGTTTTTTACTATAAACTTTGGTTTCTTAATCACAACATCAGCATTTGAATGTTGTTTCTTCGCAGATGGATATATGTGGTCATGCAACATTAGCATCTGCTCACTGTATCTTCTCAAACAGTTCTTATGGCACGGTCGAGTTTTCCACCCACTCGGGGATTCTAACTGCTAAGAGGTTGGATGATTGTGGAGCGGAAGGATCTTTCTTGATCGAAGTGAACTTCCCTGTGATTGAAACTTGTGACCACAGCTCCAATGATGTCTCCATGATCTCAAAAGCCTTGAACGGTGCTGCCATTGTTGATGTCAGAGGAACTACAACAGATAAACTCGTTTTTAAACCCTTGAAAGGATCTTCCAAATCAACTTCAACAGATCAAATCATGGTATGTTTATTTGATATGTGTTTACCGTTTTAAAAAATTCTGATCCCATCTGATTTGCAGGTTGTTCTTTCATCTTGGGAATCTGTCACTCAATTGCAGCCAAGAATTGATGATCTTATGAAATGTCCTGGAAAAGTGATGATTGTTACAGCTGCTGCTCCTGAAGGATCTGCTTTTGATTTCTGCAGTCGACTCTTTGCTCCTAAATTAGGGCTCAATGAGGTTAAGACACTAACCTGCAACTTCATGGGTAGAAGAAGCTTTGAACAAAACATGCAAAAAGTCTTTCTCTTTACTTCTCTTGCTTTTGCTTCTTCAGGACTCTGTATGTGGAAGTGCTCATTGTTCATTAGCACATTACTGGAGCCTCAAGATGAACAAGTCTGATTTCGTCGCCTACGCAGTAGTTCCTCTCTCTCTCTCTGTAACTTTTACCTTTTGAAGCTAAGAAGCAACACACAGTTTACAGAACCAGTAAATTTGTTTTATAGGCTTCGCAGAGGAGTGGAACAGTGAAGGTTCGTTATGATAAGGAGAAACAGAGAGTTTTGCTCACTGGCAAAGCTGTAACTGTCATGAAAGGCTATGTCTTGGTGTAATCTTTGACATTCTTTTTCCATCTTGTTGTATCAGATTATTATGTAATAAAGCAATGAACTGAATAATAAAACGATATTTGATTGTTGCAGAGATCTGTAAATTTGGCAATAAACGTATCAAATCTTCAGTTCATGAAAACTTAAAAGATAAAACACGAATTTGTCTTCATGAAACCAAATCTCACTACAAGATAGGGTCTTTTACAATCTTGCTCTTACAAAAAAAAAGGAGAACCAAACTTTGAATTCACTGCAAAATGCTTAACGACCACCACGGCCACGTCCACGACCTCTTCCACGACCACGTCCACGACCACCTGGTGGGATCTTTCCTGAAACCGATGAGAACAGTACAATGATGAGGCATGGTTAAGAATGAAAAAGGGATAAAGTAGAGAAAGAAATGCTCTTGTTATATACCTGCAGTTGGTTTTTTCGGTTTGATTCTTGGTGTGTCTTCGACCAGTAAAGTCTCCAGATTCAATGTGTCTGGAAGAATGTAATAGCGAATGTTGTTTCCCCTGACACTTAAGTGGTCTAATGTGACTGGATTCTTCCCTTTCAAAGTGAGTTTCACAGCTTTTAAGTGAGTGTTCATACTAACATCTACACCTGCAAGCAGATAGCAACCCAGTCAGTAATGGCGATTGATGATTGCATTCTAGAATAGATGAGACTAAAAGAGATGCAGAAACATGCCATAATGTAACTGTTCTATAAAATTCTTTACAAAGAGAGAAAAAGGAAGAAGGGCTTTCAAGTCCTAAATTCATTCGCCATGGGATTGCATATATAGTTGGTTTACACATTGGTTTCATATATATTTCTGCTGCATATGGAAGACCATAGTTCGAAGAAGAACTAAACAATCTCATAAATTCTCGAATTTAAAGCAAAATCTTGTGTATCATCTGCATCTAAATCGAGGTATGATAACGACAATGCGTTTCTATCTCATAATCAACACACAGGCTCAACCTAGATTGAGGTATTATCAGTACTAACAAAGTTTAACAACTTGTAATCATCAAAAGAAGAAACTAAACTATCTCATCAACCTCGATTTCAAAAGCAATAAGTACTGTATCATCTGCATCTGACTCGACCAGTGTTCACTCGGGTTGATACCGACACAGCAATCCTAGGGCAAAAAAAAAAAAAAAATCGATACTGCAAAACTCAAATCACACCTCAGAATTTGTGAATGCGAGAGATTTCATTGCTTACAACCATCAACAGAGAATCTAAGAGCAAAACAGGTCCATGGTACATGAAGCAATCTAGTTTTTTAAGCAAAACCCTAAACGCCCGAATTGAGCTGGGAAAAAAAAGAGAAGCGTACCTGTAATGGTTCCATGAACTACGGTTCCGTTCTTAAGCTCGATTGAAACTGTTTCGTTGTTCAATTTCATCAAAAACCTGCGAAAAATCCCGATATGAAATCAAAAACAGGAAAAATAAAATACTTGAGATTTCGAACCGAAGGAAAGAGAGAATCGAAGAGTAAAAACGAGGAATCATCAGAAAGAAAATTTATACCTTACGAGCTTCATGGCGAGAGATGAGAGATGACGAGAAGAAATCTAGGGCTTTCAGGGAGAGAGCTCGAAACAGCAGCAATGGCAAGAAGCGAGAGCGGGAGGAGGAAAAATATTGGGGGAATAATTTTTATTAAGCAAATTAAAAGACTCTGCTTAACACCGACGTGTCTCAAAATTCTTTGAATATTTTGCTTATTCCCAGATTTGTTTTTGCGTTACCGGATACACCCATCTTATTTTTGATTTACCAAATACAACCCCATACAAAGAAAAAAAACTTATAGTTATAGATTTTTGATTTACCAAAAAACAACCTCACACAATTTTTGAAAACGCAGCTCAAGTTTATAATTTTGATTTACAAAAAAGAAAAACCCCACACAAAAAGTACCCCACACAAAAAGCTTATAGTCTTCTTGGCTCCATTTTTGATGTTTGTTTCTTTAAGCTTGTAGATTCTTTCCTGTTCTTTTTGATGTTTGTTGGTGGTGTTTTCTAGTTCATTTGCTAGTCGTCTTCGACTTTATTTTCGGTTAGGTGGAGAGTTAAGTCTCGTTCTCTTTCAGCTATTATCTAGGCGTTCATTTGGTTGTGTTCAGCTGTGTCCAATCTAGCCGCACTCAGAATGTTTATGTGGATCTATAGATCCAATTTTGTTGAGTTATGAAGCTTTGGTTACTGTATAATGGAGAGGTGAATTCTTATCATTTTGGAAGGAGGTAAATGTTATTCTTGGGGAGGTAGATATTATTCTTGGACTCAGCTTCACAAGAGTTTCAGAAGATTTGCAGATTTGGATTGGTCATCAGATTTTAGTGTAAAGTCAATTTATATGTTTAGTTTTGCTGTTCTTATGCATTAGTCTATGTTTTTCATTTGGATATGTGATATAGTAATTTTATTTTCTATAATTGTATTTTATCTAAGTTTTAAGGATGGTGGTTCCTCTTTTACTGTATCCAATCATATATTTCATCTGTATTTCAGTATGTATTCTTTTTACTTTGTATAATTTTATTTTAGATGACAAAAAACAAAAAATCCCAAAAAACCCCACACAAGAATTTAGTCATTCATTACACAATTTTATTAACTTATATATTACAGTTTAATTATCGATTTTTTCGTCTTGCACAGTTCTGTTATTTTACTATAATATAAACAAAGTCAAAGTTAAACAAATTATAATTCGGATAAAAACATGTAAAAAAACATCATCCACATATTTATTTTGATATCAAAATTTTGTGTAGCCCCTCAATATGTTTTGCTAATTTGCAATTACAACAATTTAATGAGAGAAAGCATTATTAAGTTTAATCTTCACTTACTAATTTATTATTCTAATATAAAATTTCTTTAAACGGTATTTTCTCTTGTTTTTTCAAAAAAGGTTTTATTAACAGCTCATGCCAGAAGGCCTAAATAAATTATTTGTAGTAAACTTTTTCTTATGGGCTTAAGCTAATTATTTTAGTACTCTTGGACCAAGAGAAAAAGTTTACTACATGTTATTCGGCCTTTTAGCCCAACAAGAATGTTGGTGTTCGCATCCAGTCAAAGTCCATCTCGAATTTGATTCATTGCCATATAGAGCCATTAGAAATTGTGTGACAACTAAATAATGCAAACTTTAAGAAGAACCAAAAAAAGAGACAAATTGCAAATTGACTATATAGAAATCACAATATGAATATAAACAGTCACAAACGGGTTGATTTTATTTGGTTATTATTACTAATCCAATGGTAACGAAGCATTACACAACACAAGAATCCGACATAGAATCTTTCATTTTCTTTTATTTGGATTCTACTTCTCCACATTAATAAGTAAAATTGGTCAATCATCACGGTCGGGTCATCAATAAATCCATTCCTCCGGGAGAAGTTTCTCCGGCGAATCAATCGGAGTTTCAGCTTCTGTTTTCATTGGTGTTTCCACCACAATTTCGCTCTTCTTCTTCGAATCATTTTCTCGAATTTCTACATTCAAAAACAATATTATATATTTGAAATTTATTTATTTTCCTGATGCATTAAAAAGAGAATGATGGCCGGAGAAAAACCTGAACGGGGTGAAATATGAATACCGTTGTTGTGAACGTTGAGATTAAGTGCTTGAACAACACGCGCCGGGAGAAGCACCGGCGAGCAAGCTGTGACCATATAATTTTTTTGTCATAAATTATAAAATTGAGGGTATATGCAATTGTAAAATTGGATTTATCCAATTGAAAACATACATTTTTGTTTAAAACATAATTAATATAATTATAACCTGGTTTTTTGGTTGGCGGATGAGAAGCGGTGGCCGGGAGAAAAACACCGGTGCCGGAAGTTGTACGGCTCGGCGAAACCAAGAAAAATGCTTGCATTGGTTCCTCTCCTTTACTCCTTTGCCAATTGTTTTGCTGCTTTTGTCTTGTATTATGATCCTTCATAACACACACAAATATATAGAAAACGTTTTGAGTTTCATATTTTTAAAAATATATACACAAGACCAATGTATAAAATTAATTCGGAATTAATGTAGATAATAAAGTCCGTAACGATTTTTCTTCCAAAATGAGGAAATCGGTTGATAACATAACAAAAGAAGATTGAAATATCCTTAGAATGACTAACCAAAGGAAAAGTTTCTCTGAGAGGAGGTGCACCGGGTCGTCGGAATCCACCGCTGCCATGGTGGTGGTGATGGTGGTGGTGGTTCTTGACGGATTTCTGCAACTGTATGAGAAGAAACAAATTAACAAAATTGACATGATAATAATCAAGAACGAAACATTGGATATAAGATGATATGTAAACCTGTTGTTTGTTGGAATGATCAAACAAGGGATCTTGAGAGGGTAACCATATTTGCCTATCTTTATGACCGATAATGTCACCCATCTTAAACTGACCCAACAAAATACTGAATTTCGAATCTGGTTAAATAACTTTGAACCAGTATTCGAAGAAGAAGAAGAAGAAGAAGAAGATCAATGGAAAGTTTTCTTTGTTGACTAAGAAAAAGAAAGAGGAGAAGAGGTTTGATTTTGCCCAACTTCTAACCTGAATCTTAACTATAAATATTACTACTCATGATGGGTTTGGAAAGTAGAGGGAGAGACGATGACTACAAATTGTTTGGAATGCTAATTATTGTTTTCCATATATTATTTAATGCCCCCATTTATTGTTTTTAAAACTTTTGTCAAAGAAATTAATTATTCTGTTGACATAAAAAAAAAGATGATTTAATTATTTGAATTTGGATTCTTCATTAGGAAGGTTAAACAAGAGTTACACACTCTTTTGTTTCAAATTTTGCAAAACAAAACAAAATTAATCATATAAAGTTTACATCAAATTTTGTTTTTTTCGTCGATTACATATAAACCGCGTGTTAATAGTATGGTAACGCCAAAAAAACTATTAGACTATAATTTTGTTTTTCATATAACTTTGATTATAGAAATTCTTTTGTATGTTTCGACTCATACAATTCATATAAACCGTAACCGTATAATAACATTAATAATGATTTCGTCAAAAAAAAACATAAAAACTGTTACATTATAAATTTTATATTTTTCTTTATAACTTTTTGAAAGTATTTTCTATTGTTTACTTTATATATATATAAAATTATATAGATTCTGTTGACAAATTAAAATTATATAGTTTTCTTAGAAAGATTAAGGACATCATGTCGGGGAGTGGGTTGAGTTGTATTGGGTAAACGCCTCCCTCTAATATTTAAACACATTGTTTATGTTTAATGCTATAAGTTAAGTTGTTCCTTAAAAAGACCATAACTTCTACAGATAAAGCAGGGCGTTACTTAAACTACAGATTAGAATAAATTATGCTATAAACCAAATTTATTAGAGAAACAGTAAAAAATGGTGTTATACCCCCATAAAAATGTTGCAACTAATATTTAATAAGCAAATTACCAAACCTCTATGTATATATATTGAAAATATATGAATCGATAATTTCTACACAATTTATATACACTTTGTGTTGAAAATATATCACACTTAAACCAATTAGTAACTAGTAAAGAAGTATTTTCTAGCTCATTCAACTAAAACTGTTCTTTTAGTTTCGTATGACTATTTCATTCTCGTATGTCTTATATGATAAGTACTCAAATGACCAACGGCGCCACTTCTTCTTAACAACCTTCACCAACCAACCAAAGTTCCTATAATTTTTTTAGGAAGATTTTATTAGTTGATGATCTTATTCTTACCCCAAGTGGGCGCAATATTAAATTTATTAGTGAGTTACATTACATGACCAATCGAGCAGGAAAATTTAGTGATTAATACTAATTAGTATGGGGTGCTCAAATGAATTAACCATGTACTTTAATTAAAATAAAACGAAGAATAGGATTCGAACACATCCAAGGTTATGGTTTTATGAATACCCAAATGTAGTTTACCTACCAGCATAAAAAAAAAAACTAGAATCTCCTATAAAACTTGGTAAATAATAGAACCGTGTAGGATATTCATATTTAGGTACAAAATCATAAATAACAAATTATCACAATCAGATTCAAACAAACAATTTAAGAAGAAAAAAACATTGATAATTTAATTGTTATAAACGAAATTATCAACTCTAATGAGTTGATTAGAAATTGAAAGTTTAATAATAAGAAGTGAAAATTTATGAACTTATTTTATTTTATATGTGGGATATATGGTTAAAATAGTTGACTAACTGTTCAAGTGAACAAATCCACTTTGGACACAAGTCTTTGAAGCTTACATAAGACTTACACACAAGTCATAACTACCCAACAAGAAGAGTCGGAAGTAGGTTTTTCAGTTAGTCAACCTCTCAAGTCTCAAAGGTCATTTGACATCATCATCATCCCATAGAGAGAAGAACCAAAGATATAAAATTTGGCACAAAAAGAATTAAGTTTTTTAATAATACTAAATTTGACGAAACAAAAATGAAAAAACCTGATAGTGATCTTTTACCCGCAACTTCATTCCTTTGCAGCTTTATCACACTCTCCTCGATCACTTATTGTCCGAGCAAGCGGAATATTACTGCTTCAAGACAAGTATTTCGATTGGTCATGGCTCGCTCCATATAGCAAACAGCTTTCATGGATTCACTCCAAATCTGTGTAGAAGTTGCAGCTTTCAAGCTTAAGAAACGGTGGAGGAGATTTCAGTCACACGCATTCGACTAGTTACTCTAATAAGCTCCTTGGTCTCTTCATCTAACTCTACATTGTCCTTTGCCATTCGCTCTTCAACAATCAGTGCCATTTCACCGGCTTTGGCGTAGGTACGTAAGAAGGAGTTGTAGAGCTGAGTGTTAACATGACCAGCCTTTTGCAGTATAGTCATTAGCTTCTCTGCTTCTTTGACATTCCCTTGTTCCTCGAGTTCCTTGCACACTGCTTTAAGCAATCTTACATTCACAGTCCATTTCTTCACGGAATCAATGGCTTTCCCGAAACGATCTAATACTTTCTCCATGTCCTTGCGTTTCAAATAAGCCCACGTGAGAATCTCCCACGTCGAGTAGCTAGGGTTTATTCCTTTCTCAACTATCCGTTCGTAGAACTTCTCTCCCAGGTGAACCTCGTCTCTGTTCATATACTCGGCAAGAATAAGATTCGGGATTCTAACATCCCCTGTTCCAGAAACAGACTCCCACTCATCGTACAAACCTTTGGCTTGTTCGAATTCCCCAAGCTTCACCACCGCAGATATCATGCTCAGGTACTCTGCATCGTTCATTCTCTTGAAAGATGACTTGATCTTCTTCCATGTTAAGTTGACTCCATCTTTGTCCCCCAAGTTCCCGTGCAGGCTTATGAGAGAAGCATAAGCAACCCTGTTTTTCTTGGAGACGAGTTTCTCCATCTCCTTCAAAGCAAGTTTCGCCTTTTCGAGACTATCGGTCTTAGTGTACAGATTCGTCAGGACGCTGTAAGTCACCCAGTCTGGACTCAGGTTCGCTTCTTTCACCTTAAGATAAACTTTCTCCGCGGCTTCGACATCATTCCCAGAGGCAAACGCAGTCAACCAGAGATTATAAGTAACAATGTCAGGCGAAGCTTTCAGCTTCAGTTCCTTGATCATCGCTGGGACTCTCTCAAACTCACCTTTCCATATGTACATCGAGAGCATGTGGTTGTAAGGCAGGCAAGAGTTCAAGAAACCACATTCCGCCATCTTCTCGAACAAGGCCTCGGCTTTATCAGAGAGCTTGTTCTGCACATAGCTATGGAGGAGAGATGTGCAAGCAGCATGGCCTCGCATTTGATCCGGCATGTCTTCGAAAAACTTCTCCGCGCTGTTCAAACCACGGATCTTGGAAATCAAATCCAAATGCACAGCGTAATCTCCAGGTTGAAGCTTTATATCTTCCTGCAGAACCATCCATTCACATATCTGCACATATAGCACTTCAACAGTTTACCACAATGAGCTCAAAATCAAGCCACTTATTCAAATTTCAGAGTTTCAATCGATTGGATAGTAATCAAGCCACTGAATCAGATAAATTCGTTTCCAGTGAAGATAACTCCGACGATTTCCCCCAACAAAAGCTTTCGAATAGTAATCGGAGTAAAGGATCAAGACGATTCTAAAATCCAATCGAGAGATTCACGAACCTCGAGAGCGTGTTTATATCGCTTAATCTTACGAAGCTCCCTAACGATCCGGTTAAGCTCGTACTTGCGAACGGAATGGCCTTCTTCCTTCCATTTCCGGATAGTGACGACGGCGCTGCGCTTGGTGTACACAAGGCTTAATAGCCTCCCTCCTAGGGTGTCGCTTCCTCCGCCGACGCTTCCTCTTCCCGCTTCCTGTTTTTCTCTCGCTGCTCCTCCTCCTACTCCTCCGCTGCGAGTCTTTGCCGTCACAGCTCCAGCCGCTGGGTCCACCGTCGTGGCGGAGAAAAGGCGGCAAATGGAGGCTAGGGTTGGCCGAGTAGACCGGAGACTAAAAATGTTCCGACTCATGCTAATGTTTTAAGTCACTGAGCTCTGAGGAATTTCGAGTCTGCTAATATATGCGAGGCTATTTAAATTATTTTGTTGTTGGGCCTAATTGTCGGCCCAATAGATCTAATTAACTTTTTAATTAACCTAAATTAACAAGCGCCTGGACCCAATTACATACTATATTTTTTAACAAGAAAATTAATTTGACATCGGCCGAAAAAGGTGTGAATATTTCCAGATGAATATTGAAACGTTTATAAATATTGATTGTGAAAATGAAGTATCTCACATTTTTATTTCGTGCATGAAATTTATTTGAGACTATATTCAACATAAATGTGTCCATCTATTATTGTATTCAAATTGCTATATACTCAAAGATCTTCTTAAAAAAGAACAAGAAAAACACAGAACCACATTACACAAAGGTAATAGGTTTCTCAAGATTAAAGAGTTTCCGTGATCCTGTTCGGGAAATAAGACTGTCTTGTAAGGCAGGCAAGAGTTCAAGAAATGAGCTAATTATTAACTGACAGCTATAAAATACGTTTCTAAAATTTTATTATTTGAAAGATGTATCTGGTTTCTTTCTCTTCTTTTCCAAGTTTTTATAATTCTTTCTTTCTGAAATACTTTTCTTAAGATAACATATGTATATTAATCAATAATTTCTGCGTATATATATATATATATATATATATATAGAAAAGCAACTGATTGATTGATATTCAAAAAAATGGACACAAAATGAGATTTATTTAGATTTTGGTCAATTATAAGCGGAAAGAATATTGTATATAGAGAATCCTCTTCCTCTATTCGTTTGCAGAGAACAAAGTATTGCTATTCAGATTTGAAAGATTGGACATTACATCGTATTGTTGTCTACTTCTCATTGGCTCAGTTTTATACTGGCAATCTATTTTGTTTTCATTTGGAGATTTTGATATATAGTACGAATTCGCACGATACAAAGTGAAGATCATCATGTAGACAAACCTTACAAATCAAACGTTCCTTTTAATTATTTACGTCCGTACAGTTATTCATGAAGTGTCTATATATATATATATATTTATGTATCACGTAAGGGTCATATGACAGAGAAGTTAATTCAAGACTGTTTTTATCTCCCACGTCATAAAAATTCGTTTGTGGACTATAGTTTTCGCAAACGATAACAAATTTAGGTGGTAAATCTGGTAATACTCTCAATTATATTCTTTGTAACTCTCAATACTAAATACTCTGCATATTGAAAACAAAATAACTTTATAAAATACATTCTAGTGTATGTAATTAAGTACGTGGGTCAGTATTCTAGTTGGTGTGGAGGCTTCATTGGACCGTAGAGAATAGGATAATCTGAAAAAAATATTTAGAAAACTGGAGATAAGGTTTAGTCCACGCCTCACGGTGCTAAATTGCTAAATAGGACGAATATTCTTTTTCTCCGGCTATTAGAAGTAATTAACTATATATTAATCCCTGATGATAGCTTTCCTTCTTGTCTAGTACATTTTTATAATTCGTTGACATTTTTTTCTAATTCGTTGAAAACAAAATCCTTTTTAATAGTTTACTATATTTTTTTGTTAAACCAACGAATTACAGTTGACAAAAGTCAAAAACTAAGGCTGTGTAGTTTGACTGTTTGAGACAGATTATCTAATAAAATAACGATAAATATTCATAAAAAATAAATTGCAAATTTAACGGAATCGTTAATCAAAAGTAGTCTCACATTATAAATACACACTCATCCCTTCTACTGTCCTTCATCTTCATCCCTCATTTTACATTCGTCTCTTTCTTCTTCTCTCTCTCATTTACTCTGTTTTTTTTGCTTTGTCTTGCTCTCTTAACATAACCATGTCCGTCATCGTTGGCCAAGCTTACGATCATCTTCTCAAGAGTCAGATAATCCAAAATGCTGACGTGGGTGGATGGAGTTTCCTGCAATCTCTCTCTGAAACCAGAGGCATTGTCCGGAACAGAGAAGACGACACAAAGAAAGCAGCTTACGTCCACCCAATCGAGAAGCGTCCCGTAGCTAAACTGAGCCTTGAGATGTGCACTGAGAGCCTCGGGACTGAGAATGGAAGCGAGAGTGGAGACGAGATATCGTTGCTTGCGCTCAAAGAAAACAATATTCCAACGGTTCCTCTTCCTACCAAACCTCAAAAAGAGACTACTAACTTTATGATCCGTGAAAGTAGCTTTCCTCCGCCGTTAAACTCCGTGAGTGGACCTAACTATAACCGTATGGTGAAATCGTACAAAGAAGACGGTCGTCTTGTAGTTCAAGCAATTAGGGTTTGTTCACCACCTCGTTGCTTTGTATCTGAACGTTGTAAAGGAAGGCTTCGCCTCTGTTTATTGGAGGATTCTTCGCTTAGCAACGATGGAGAGGAAGAGTTTGAAGAAAATGAATCCGAAGTCGAAGCTCACGAGGAAGATGAAGATGAAAAGAAGGGAGAAGAGGACGACGCAGAGGAGGAAGAAGAAGAAGGAGAGGATGGCATTGTGGGGAATAATGAGAACTTTGAGGATAAAACTGGAAATAAAAAGTTTGGAAGGCCAAGAAGAAGATGCAGTGATAATGGGTGTACCTGGAAGCAGCAGCAGCAACAATTTTGGGTGACCACTTAAATGGAAGAAGTCAGCAAATTAATTTACTTTTAATACAATAATAAGTAATATATATTGCTAATTATAATTATTAATTTTTGTTCTTTCTATGATTTAGTATGTGAGAGTGTTTCCCAAGTCCCCCATTGTATTACTACTACGGCTTCTAATCCTATAAAAATAACATGAGTTATTAGTATTACTATTCATCTGTTTTATTGTAACATTTGATTATTTATATCATCATAGCACTTGATCCGATTTCAAAAGCGCAAACAGTTTCATACCTAATGAGTGTTCTAAACTCAGATGTCACAAGCCACTCCTAGCTAATCGATTGTGTATTATTGTTCTTGTTTGTTGTATGGCGTCTAATTTCTAGGTATGGGCCTTTTGTAAGCCAATTCGTTGGAAAACTAGAATAAATATGAACTTATTAAGAAACAAAAAGCTATTTTAGGATAAACACATTCACAAAAAGAAGCTTTTCTAGCAATCAAGTGGTATTACTCTCATGACTTTTAAAAAAAAGGAAAACATTTTCTCACCGTCTATGATTAGATTAGCTTTCTATTTAAGGAAAGTAAACAACAACCAACCACTAATGTTCTCCATATATGCCAATGTACAACCCAAAAAAGTAGTTCATGCATCGACGCGTTGGAAGTAGAATGGATTTTTGGCTCTATATAAACCATACATTAATTGTATAATAAATTAAATGAAACATTTTTGAATGTGTGCACTGCTTTTTTTTTAAAGAAACCTAATGTGGGCATTTGTTGTATACTTGTATTAATAACATGTTAGAAATATTAGCAAGAGATCCTTACTCAAAATGTTAACTATCAATGTAGAAGTAAGTTCTTTCTTTTGTAATCCGAAGTAAGTTCTTCAACAAGTTTTGTTTGTTCTTATTTATAAAACGGATTAATTAAAGAAGAACAGTATACTGAGATAGAGGCTTTGTACTGATACAATTCATTTAACTCATAGATTGTTGGATACATCTTTATCCATAATTGACATAAATGGATGGATATAACTCTTAAGCGTTGCAAGGAAATTGGAATATTTAACTATAAATTACGAATATATAGTAGACAGAGTAAAAGTGTCATTGTTATGCCTTAACCATTAATGGAGGTAAACTGAGAAAATGATAGATCCAATGAAAAAACTAGGCAGAAACAGCGTGTAGGTTATAGAAATAAAAGACCGTCTAATACAATCCGAAACTAACAAAATGAAACTTGTAAACATATATATATATAACTTTAAATATGAATTCCCTAAACAAATAATTGTTTTCACATTTTCAGACACTAGTCTATTGCTTTAATTTGTCTATCCAAAATTGTAACACATATAAGATTTACGGCCCTCGTATAAAAAGTTAAAAACCTTATATATAATTAAAATAAATTTTGCAAGAGTTCGATGTCCACAACTTCCATGTAATTAAAGATAGACAGTATCCACTTTGCAAATTCTAGTCTAAGGACACGAAGCATGAACATAAAAAGATTGCGTATATGTATAAATATCATTGATTGGATGATACTGAATTACTGATTATTATCAGAACACGAAAAAAAAAAAAAATTGGGGGGTTTTGAGGTTTTGCAACATCAAATGTGTGACATGATTGTAAGACTTTATAACCAACGATTATAAACACGAAAAATTATTAACATAAAAAGAGCTGGCGAAAAAAACGTTTCCAGACTCATCTGTTTTTTTATGGTTTAAATCTTTTTTCATTTCTCTTTTATATAGAAAGAGTTTTCACATAGAAAAATAGAGTTTTAGATTTCTTATTTTGATTAAATATTATGTACTCATATCTATGATGAAAGAGACTCTGCACGAAAATAAATCTAAGATATGTATGCTCTCTCATGGAAAACTATAATTGTGATCACATGATCCGCACATCTAACAAAAGAGATATGTTCTTTCTTAATGTGATCAACGCCTCCTCTCCATAGTTATACGTCTTATCACATTTGATGCATTATGAGAAATTATATAATAGCACTGATGTCTACGTAATTATTTAGATTTATGAAATGATATAGAATGTCAAAAGAAGTTTTTAATATATGTGACGCAAAAAACATTTGTAGAGACTATGTGTTATACACAAACAACGATCTTGGTATTAATGGTTTTAAAAGCTAAAGTAATACTATATGTTAATTGAATAATAGATATGCTAAGTAAGTAAAAAGCTAAGCAGAATATGTACCATTTTTCTCTCTCTCTCAAATAAACCATGAACCGTTCGAATGTCGCATTCGCCAATCTCTATATACTTTTTCGATCTTTTTGCTACGATTGGTGTTTTAAAGATTGTCCAAACCAATCAGAGAGAGAAGAAAAAAAGAAAAAAGGATTCTTTTTGCATCATCAACATTCCACTGCTGACCTTAAATTATAATGTAAGGGGAAATTCATATTTTTGAGTTATATTGTTTAAGTATTTATTCAACTTTTATAATCTTTTTAGTAGCAGCAAAGTAAGGTGGAATCTCTTTCATGTTTACACAAACATGTCAACTAGGAATAATTTTTTCTCTAACTTTTGACTATACTCATCCCTTTGTTTATTATAACAACATTAAAAGGTTGGGTTACCAAGGAGACATGTCATTTAGCTGAAAGCTGTGAATGCAATTAGAAAAAACTTACAACGTACGTTTAGATTACTAATCTAATGGTAAGCACTAAGTATACTTTATTCTGCAAATTCTGGATTAGAAGAACTAATTTTTTTCTGAGACAATAAAGCTTTGTGCTTTATGTTGAGAGTTACTCCACATGGAAACCTATGGACTATGGTGTGAGGTCATTCCACTCGTATAATTCGACTCGTATAATTAAATGTATATTATCAATATAAATTTTTCTATATAAATTTTTAGTTATTAAAATTTACAGGATTGCTTTTAATTTACAATGATATATATGTTAAAGATGAGATTCGTACCATCTCTACAAACTCGATATGAATTCTGGTCGGTCAATCTTACAAGGTTCAAATAAATGGAAATCTTCTATTTATCAAGTGAACCCGGGAAAAAAAAAAGTTCGGTCTTATCGGCAAAAAGACTTTCCTATTCTGAACATATGTTGAAGACCGACCTGATCGACTATAAATATGAAAAATCCTGAACTTCTCACATCATCCAAAAATATTCATTCGAGACTTAGGGCAAACAAAGCTATCTTATTATTCTTAGCTCTCGATCTTTTTTCTTTAAAAAGTCTAGGTCAGCGTTCTTATTCCGACGACTTAAACTGTTTTGTACTTCTCAAGCTCCGGCTAAATTTAATAAGATCTCTCTCTTTAAATCCACAAACCCTAGTTCTCTTCTAAAGTGTCGAACTTGAGTTTTTACAATATATAATGTTATATCTATAATTATTCGAACGATATATTAACATCACTAATAATTAAAAAATTATATAAAACATTACTCTGTAGTTCAAATTTCAAACATCTACATCTAACTGTAGTAATATACACTACGAAATAATCAGTATGCAGACATGAACATCATATAACCAATTTGATTTTAAGCGGCAAGAAAGCTCATAGAAATACTAATTTATTTTTGCTTCCATCTCTTCTTACACATTGACGAAGAATATGAATGTATTCAAATTTTTTTCATAGAAATCGAGGACAGTAAAGTAACACAATAAAATTTGATGTCATGAGATACAAGAAAAATCATAGATGAATGGTTTTTGCAAAAAAAACACAATAATACTCATTAATTCTTGTTTGAATCTGTGGCTCATCTAAAAGATAGATGTAACCAAAAATGACATTGCATTATCTGGGCCGTCCAGAAAAACAGGAGTAATCTCGGCCTACTAAGCAAAACAAGAACCTTCACAGCAGTCACTAAGCGGTAAGCACTTGCAAGGGTAAACCAAAAATTCAAACAGTGTGCATTATATTTTGCAACTTGTTTTGTTAACCTAATACTTGGACCAAATTATTACAACAAACAGTGGAATGTGTCACAAATTTATATCTTACAGACCAAGAAACTGCTGAAAAGCTTAAATAAGGGTTTTACTAAACACACAGAATCTAAAAAATGTCTTAATCAATGTTGTTGCTCCTCTTCTTCTTCTTCTCCTGCTGTTTCAAAGCTTTCGTTGAGGGATTTTGAGACATGGAGAGCTGTTCCTTCCTCTTCTTCTTCATCATTACTGATTTCAGGAAAAGGGGATGAGAAATCTAAGCATAAACCTTGAACGACTTGTTCATAAGAAGCAGAGAGATCTTCAGATGTGATCTGATGGTACTCCACCATCTGGTGAAGACACTGATTTTCTCTAACCAAATTCGCGTTCTCGCTCGCTAACCTAGCTTTCTCCGTAAGCAACACCTCTAATTGTAGCCTTACCTATAATCAAAATCAAAACCATGAGAGAAACACATAGAGCAGAAACAGAACAGTTTTTTTGGAGATTGTACAGACCAGATCATCTTCTTCAGGTCTAACACCTTTCACAAACCCATCTCTGAGTCTTTTGTTCTCTTCTTCAAGCAACCCACAACGCTCCTGGATGAAACTCAGGTCGGATTTTATTGATTTCAGCTCTCTTGCAAGCGAATTTGCTTTTGCTGCCATTGATATCGCAATCTGCAAGAAAAAATATATATTGAACCTTTGTGTATAAAAGAAGGGAAAACAGAGAAACTTAAAAGGCTGAGACTTTACGTTTTTAGCCCTTTTCATGGTCTTCCTCTCTTTTGGTCTCTTCTCATCTTCATCCGACGAGTCTTCTTTTTGTTCGACATCAGACTCATGTTTCCTCTTCTTCCCTTTACTTTCTTCTTCTTCTTCTTCTTTTTCTTCTTCATCTTCTTTCTGTTGTGGTTGCATCTGATCAACTGTGAGATTCGAGTGGAGTATCTCAGATAATGTAGGTGGCTTAGCTAATTCTCTAACTCCCTGATTTTACAGAAACAATTTGTTTTCATCAATCATAGAAAAAATGAACAATCCTAATATCAGATTAATGGATTTTCAGTTTACCTGAAGGGCGTTGTCGAGATTACTAGAGAGCTGAGACAGAGTGTGAGAAACAGAGTCAAACCCTTTAAGCAAAAGCATCGAATCATTTCTCAATCTCTTTGCTCTCTCTGATTCTCCAACAATTGTTTGAGCTTTCAATGGAGAATTAGTAATGGGTTTGAGATCTTTGCTCTTTGCTTCGAGAAGAACATCTATCCTGTTACGAAGATTGCTCCAGAGACGCTTGTCTGAGGATGGACTAGGCAGTGGAGAAGATTCTAAAGATGTTGCAGAAACCATGATCAAGCTTGCTCCTTCCTGTTAAAAACAGAGATGATTTCATGAAAATTTAAATTCTGAATCATACCCAATTTTCATAACAGATGAAAAACAAAAAATCATGATTTTGTTTAATCGTAGAATCAGAGGAGCGCAAAAAAACTTACTTTGTTAGTGTGATTAGGTGAAGGAGTTTCTACAGAAGCAGCCATTAATGGAGGTATAGTGAACTAAGTTTAGAGAGAGAGGAGATGTAACGGCTAGTTTATTGAAGATGTGAGATCTTCAAAGAAGAGAATTTAAATAGGATCTAGAAATTCGCCCCAACGTTCTGATTTCTACTCTTTTAGAAAAAAAATTCGTCTATTTTATTTTTTAAATCAATTAATGGACAGAGACAAAACTAGATCTAAAAGTGGGACTTGGTCGACGACTTTTCCAAAAAGTATATCTACAGTTTCTTGAGATAGATCGGTAGGTCCCACTTTCGAGTCCAACGGTTGTTTCTCAATTCTATAATTTCTCTCAATTTGCGGAAAAAAATAATAATTGGGAAACAAAATTCTCAAGGCTGTTAACAAAAGATATGCATATGATGATATTCATCATTGTATATAACAATGGACTACCATACCATTTGCAACAACAACAAAATGACATTTTTATATAATAGTTTTGAAATTCAGACAAATATTATGAACATTTGTATTTTTTAATATTATATGCAACTTCTTGATTTTACATTAAACGAATATGTATAATGATACAATATGGAAAAATACTAAATCAAATATCTCATTATGTGGATTTATTATAAGAATCTGGCCTTCATCATTTCACAAAATCAGAGGATTCTCATTCAAGTCTAAAGAGAAATTGGTGCCAAGAAGACTTTTATTTGATTTAGCTTATTTTTTTCATTTTGTTTAAATGTAAATAGTTTCATTTAAGTGTATTTATTTGTAAAAATCCTTTGTAAGAGCTATAAAAGCTCATTGTTCTCATTGTAAAAAAATATAGAAATTTTTGGAAATTAAAAGAGATTTTTCTCTAAAGCTTTGGCTTTGTTTTTGTTTATCTAAGCAAGATGGAATTCTTCACTTAGTAAACATTTGAATCTATGTCTCTTGTGTGCGATGCCTTGAGACTAGGTTTGTGAACTCATCACAGAGGCTTCCACATCCTTGAGTAGCATTCTTCGATCCACCCATCTATCCATCTCATCCACTGATCCAGCCTGAAAGAGATTTGAGTCCAGCAAGATTGATCCCGTAACCATCCACTTCGATCATTTCTTGAGCAAGTAAAAAGAAACTTCAGTCCAGCTGCTTGTTTCCACCCATTCACTCAACCATTTATAAGATCATCCCATTGATTTTATATCACATACATATATTGAACCTTGGAGCACATTAGTTATTGACTACTCATGTTATCTTCGTGTTACATTTCAGATTCAGCACAGTTTTTCTATATTTAGGAATCTAAAAATACACACACATATGCATACATCAACACATCATATTTAGGCATTTTATACTTCATAATTTCGAGCATTAAACTCTATAAGCCTTTACTTAAACAGAGCCTTGTTTATCACAATGGAGGTCTCTCCAAAGAGACCCACCCGAATCTACCTTTGCGAAAATCAGTCAATATTCTAAATGCAGCTTGATGACTATCTCCACCAAACAAGTTAAGACCAAGGGTCTTCACAAATCTGCAAAAGAGAGAGAGTATAGAATCAAGAATAAGCCATGAACAATGGTTGCCAAAAGATATGAGATGATATTTGTGACGAAGTTTTTTTACTTTTTACCGCAGCCGCCTACTAGCTGAATCTTGTATCGGTTGTAAAGAGCCCTTTCACCTACTTCAGGGATCCGTGCTAGCATCTGTACAAGGATCCCAGCAACATCAGTGAAGTCATAAGCTTTCTCTCCAATGTCGTCGCATATCGCAAGCTTTATCGCAGCTGCTTGATCATCAATACGCATAGGAAGCATTCCCGGTGAGTCTAACAGATCGAGATCAAGATCTTTCCCAAGCTTCACCCATCTGTTTAACAGCAAACATATGAAAAATGACCAGTTTTTGACAAAGATTTAAGATAAGGAAAACACAAGTAGAAAAAAGGAAGCTCATGAAAAGCGTTATTACTTCATTTCTCTAGTTACACCTGGCCTTGGAGCTGCAGCGCAGATTTTGCGCTTCAATAGACGATTGATCAAAGATGATTTTCCAACATTAGGGTATCCAATTATTCCAGCTCTAACCTGCATCATGTTAAAGTACACTTAAAGCATAAATGTTGCAGCAGTGATGAATCATATAGATCATATGATACACTCTACTCACTGGCCTAGGGAGAAGTCCTTTTTCTCGCCGTTTCGCATTTACATCACCTGCTAAACTCTTAGCTAAACGACCTAGCTTCATAGCTCCCTGTAAAAATCAGTCAGAGATTAAACCACAAAAGAAAAAAATCAAACACCAAAGCAAAGATTAAACTTCTAAAATCCATACCATCCCAAGTTTGCCATTAGTGAAAATGACCTTTATTCCTTGCTTTGCAAAGTATCTAGCCCAGTCATTTCGATCATCGTTCGATATCATATCTTCTCTATTTAATACCAATATCCGTTTCCTATTACCAAGCCACGCATCCATCTACAAAATACGACATACATGGTTCCAAAGAAAAATAAGTTAAGGACAAAGTAGCACACATTATTGAACCACTATTTGGTGAACTCAACCTAGTATCACAATCTGTTCTGATGGAAACTTTTCTTGTAAGTTTTCTACTGTGCTTACTCAATATCCAATTTCACTTCAAATGTTTTAGCTTTCTCACCACAAGAAACAATATACTCAAGGGCACAAATCATCGTCTTAAAACCTAATCCAAGATCATTGGAAGCAAACCACTAACCTTTGGATGAGTCGTGGATAAAGGAATCCTAGCATCTCGGACTTCAATCACAACATCCATCAGCTTAAGCTGTGCCCTAAGTTCCTTTTCAGTTTTCATTATGTGTCCTGGATACCACTGTAGAATCAAGAGCCACACAATAAACAATCCAAACAAATCCACACTCCAAACACACACTTTTCACAGAATAATCTGTTAATCGATTACCTGAACAGGACGTAATGCTCTGGTCCAGAGACGAATATCAGATTCTAGATTCATCCAATCAATTTCTTCTGCATTTGGCTCTAATGTGAACCCGATTGGATCACTCTTTTTCGTACCATCCAAATTCAAATCCTTCCCTCCAACAATCTGGAAGAAAGAGAATAACAAGTTTCCCGAATTCTCAATATTATTTCCTATTACAAACTGCGAATTTTAGATAAGAAGGAGGAGGAGCACGAAGTACAAGTAGATGAAAATGTTTGCCTGAATTGGTGGACGAGAGGAATTTGCAGTGGGAAGAGAAGCGGAGACTGCGACTGTGGATTTTCGGAAGCTACGACGGTAAACGAAGTGGCTTAAGTTCGCCGGAGAAGGAGACGGCGATGGCGCTAACTGTGCGAACATCGCTGATTAAAATTAAAAATTAAGAAACTAGAGAAAAGAAAAAAACTAAAAACCCCTTATCCCCTTTCGGCTAACCGTATGCTGATATCTCACGGGCTTTTTAGAGATTCCGGGCTTCATTCAATTTAGGCTTTTAGTACGTTGGACTAGGCCTATAAATATAGTAAAGGCTTTAGCAAACTGTAAATTTGATGAATGTGTTAGCTAAATCCAAACAGAAAAATTATTTTCGAAATTAATATTTCAAAAAATATATATTCAATTAACGAAAATATAAATAATTATTTTCATATACAGTTTTTATTCTCAGTTCCTTAAAAAAATGTTAATTTTTAGTATTTAATATAAGTAAATTGGTATAGTGCCAGTAGAAATTAATTGTAACTGGTGTTTGAACGGTTTGATTGTTAGATTCTTAAATTTGACCACTAATTACTAGATTCTAGATTAGGCAAATCAGTGATTAGCCTTTTAGGACGAGAATGACCCTAACACGAAAATATTATGATTCCGCTTGTGCAGCAGTTAACTTGTGACAAAGTTTTAATTTCGAACACTTGCAATGAGAACCAAGTTAAAAGAATGCACAAAAATGAGTCACTAATTAAACGGTCACATATGACAAAAAAAACAAAACTAGTCAAAAAAAAAAATAAAAAGAGTAAACTGATGATTGCGAAAATAAAAAAAGAAGACTCGCTCGAGATTTCTTCAACTCTGTTGTTCGGGGGATGTGGGCTTAGTCGACTTCTTCCATCTTGCTTCCTTCAGCCTCAGCGTCATCTTCAAGCGGTGGCATATCAGCATCAGCTTCAGTCTCAGCTTCATTATCGTCAATGCTCAGTCCAAGTTTAAGCATGCGGTGGATTCTGTTTCCGAAGGTGTTGGGCTCATCAAGGCTGAAACCAGAGGTGAGAAGAGCAGTCTCGAAGAGGAGGAGGACAAGATCCTTGACAGACTTGTCGTTCTTGTCCGCATCAGCTCTCTTCCTCAACTCATCCATGATCGAGTTCTCTGGGTTGATCTCCATCGTCTTCTTGCTAGACATGTACCCACCCATGCTGCTATCTCTCAAGGCCTGAGTCTTCATGATCCTCTCTATGTTCGCGGTCCAGCCATACTCACCGGTGACAAGACAACACGGCGAGTCGACAACACGGTCGGAGACAATGACCTTCTCAACCTTGTCTCCCAAGACATCCTTCATCACCTTGCAGAGACCCTCGAACTTCTCCTTGAGTTCTTCCTTCTTCTTCGCCTCGTCTTCAGTCTCCTCAAGCTTCAAACCTTCCTTGGTGGCTGAGACCAGCTTCTTTCCCTCAAACTCCTTGAGCTGATGATATATCATGGTTTTTATGGTTTTTAACCATGATATAAATCCTTTTTATTGAGTCTTTTTGGTCTTTTTTGAGTCCTAGTAGAGTCTTTGCAGGTTATAGCATGTCTGGAGCATAATTGGAGATTTTGAAACCTTTTGGAGCATTCTGGGTTGAAGCCACGAAGTACCAAGCTCGAAGCAGAAAGTATCACATATGGTGACGCTCGTCACCACCTTTGGTGACGCTCGTCACCCATCAAGGAAGGAGCGTGGCTGTTTTATTAAAAGTATGAAGAAGATTTGCAGAATTGGCCCAGAAGTTCCTTTATTTACATGAAGACCCCAGATTGTGTTTAGCCTCTATTTATTAGGTTTTTCAGCCATTGTTGGCTATGATCTTAGTTTTTGAGAATTCAGAGAGCTTGGAGAGAGATTTATTCAGAGCTTTTTGGGGAGACAAATCTTGTA